TGGTATCAGAGCCTCAAACCTACGCCTCCCCTCTCTCTCTCTTTATCTTTCACCGCCTCTTTTCATCTCTCTCGCTATCTCGTCACAGCCCCTTCCCTCTTTCTTTTTTTCTTTTCTTCACAGACCCACTCTCTTCTTCAGGGCGTTGTTGCGACAATCCTAGGGGAAGCCAAGCTCCTCTAGATTCGACCCCTATAGGGGTATTTCCTTAGTCTTTTTATGCACTAAGGGTCAGAAGACGTGTTTGCAATTTTTTGGGGCCGTCGAGATATTCGGTAGCATTTTCGGATCGGACCACCGTGTCTCCGGCTTCTTGGTTTGATCAAAATCAGATTTATTTCTCCTTTATTTGAAATTATTGGTGATCTATTAAATTATTCTATTTAATATTATGGCTGATTCAAGTAATAATAAAGAAACTCTCTCTTCGGCGCAACACACACCGGCTCAACGAGTTGCTAGCATGCTGTTGAATGGCCGTAATTTTGCATCCTGGGCTCGTTCCCTCCGCCTTTATGTTGGTGGAAAAGGCAAATCAGGGTAGTTTTTGGGCACTGAAAAGATGCCACGTATTAAAGATCCTAAATATGCTCAGTGGGATATGGACAATTGCACCATTTTAAGATGGATGTTTAATTCTATGGAGGAACGAATTTATAATATATTTATGTTTTATGACTGTGTTCATGACTTGTGGATTGCTTTGAATGAAATGTATGCTCATTCTAGGAATGATGCTCGTATTTTTGAGTTATACCAAGATATTGCTAAGGCTGCGCAGGAAGGCCTGAATTTGTTTGTAGCTAATTACTTTGGGTATTTGAGATCTCATTGGGAGGAACTGGCTCAATATGAGCCTCTCAGTGAATTTCCTCCCGATGTTAAAAGCCTTTGTTACTGTTGATGGTGAAAAACGCAGGCACCGTTTAATTCAGCCCTCACTTGTTCCTCTACCGGTGTCTGAGCTTGCTGGGGATAGTATGGCTTTTGCAGCCAACTTTGGATCACGTACTTCTGGAGGTCAAATTATTTGTCACCATTGTGGAAGGGTTGGACATGTTAAGGCTCGCTTCTTCAAATTTCATCATGAACTAAAGCAGAAATTTTCTAGGAAATGTTTATCTGGAACTGGTTCTTCTCGTACTGCTGCTGCTGCAGAGACTCCTGCTATTGGTGGATCTACTGTATCTCTAGGACTGAGCTAGCTTCAGTCTCAAATTGGGCATATCCAGGACTAGCTTGGCTCCCTTGCTTCTAAAGTTGGTGCTCCTTCAGCTGCTCCCAGTACCACTATTGCTACAGGTATTCCTACTGCATTTCATGTTAAGGCCAAGCAGCCTACTTGGGTTTTAGATTCTGGGGCTAACGATCACATGACTGGTGAGTTATCAGTTTTTTTCTTCCAATGTCATACTTGTTACCCAATCTACATATCTTGCGGATGGCTCTACATCTTACATTAACAGTAAGGGTGATGTTTGTCTGTCTCCTGATATTACTCTTTCATCTGTCCTTTATGTACCTAAATTTGCCTTTAACCTTTTATCTATTAGCCGGCTTGCAAAAAACTTCCAATGTGCAGTTATATTCTTACCAGATCACTATTTGTTGCAGGACCTTTGTTCGAAGAGGATTTTTGGCAGGGGTTATGAGCGTGATGTGCTTTACTACTTTAGGGAACCACTAGGAACAGGTTTTCAACCTTTTGTCCTACCTGCTTCTAGTGCTTATGATGTTTCTTTTCGCACTTTTAGTATGTGGCATGCACATTTGGGGCATGTAAACTTTCAGTATCTATGTTTATTATTTCCTTTGTTAAATAAAGCATGTAAGGACCATAAGTTTCAATGTGAAGTTTGTGAGCTTTCTAAACATACTAAAACTAGCTATATTTCTCATATGAGTCATGCTCCTAGTATGTTCGATCTTATTCATTCTGATGTTTGGGCCTTCCCAGTTACTGCTTTCTCTGGGCATCGATATTATGTGACATTTATTGATGATTATTCTCGTTGTACTTCGGTTTATTTATTGAAAAAAAAAAAATCTGATGTGCTTCTTTTATTTACCCAATTCTTCAAATAATCAAAACCCAATATAACACTGTTGTCCATAATATTCGTTCTAATAATAGACGTGAATATGTTTCGAATGAGTTCCGGACTGAACTTAATAAAAAGGGGATTTTACAAAAACTCACTTGCCCCTACACTCCTGAGCAAAATGGCGTGGCTAAACACAAAAACCGTCATCATGTGTCTATGGTCCGATGTCTTCTGAGTGGTATGCATGTGCCTAAATTCTATTGGCATATGGTTGTTCTTACAGCTGCTTTTCTGATTAATCGTACTCCCAGTCGAGTTTTGAGTGGTAAGGCCCCACTTCAGATTCTCCAGCCTGATTATACATTGTTTCATCTTCTGCCTCGTGTTTTCAGCTATACTCATTTTGTTCATAATCGTAGTCCTTCTCGTCATAAACTTGATGATAAATCTATTAGGTATATTTTCTTAGGGTATTCTGCTATGTCAAAGGGCTATCGTTGTTATGATCCTGTGGCCAAACATATGTATCATTCTCTTGATGTGACATTTCATGAAACTGTTCCTTTTAATAGTACTAATTATGTGGTACAAGATTCTCTCTCTTGTGGTCTGGAGAAGGAGATCTCTCCTATTGCCCGTCCTGTTCCTCTCTTTGAAAATCATACTGTCCTAGAATCTCCTTCTCCATCCATGCAAGGTTTCCCTCCGCCTTTGCAGGTCTACTCTCGTCGCCATCACACTCAACCTCCCCTACCAGAATCATCTTCAGAACCAGGTCCAGGTAATTCTCCTTCTCCAGTGGCTCCTACCATTCCTGAACATACATCCTGTTATCCTACCCGTGATCGTCACCCTCCTAATTGGTATGGTTTCTCTAGTAGCACTAACCACCCTGTTTCCCAGTATGTCTCCTATGATGGTCTATCAGGTGCATATAAATCCTTCCTGGGCAAGATTGGGACCGTTTTTATTCCTCGATCCGTGTCAGAGGCCCACCAAGATCCCAATTGGGTGTCTGCCATGACAACAGTAATGGATGCTTTACAGCGTAATAATACATGGGAACTAGTTGCTTTTCCTGCTGGGGAGAAAATGGTTGGCTGCAAATGAGTCTTTACTATGAAGTACTTAGCCGATGGTTCTATTGATCGGTATAAGGCTTGATTGGTGGCAAAAGGCTTTACTCAGATTCCGGCCCTTCCGGGCAAAGACTTTGGTGCTACCTTTGCTTTTGTGGCAAAGTTGACGTCTGTGCGACTGCTTATCTCCTTGTCTGCTGCCCATTCTTGGCATCTGCATCAGTTAGATGTCAAGAATGCATTTCTTAATGGAGACTTACTTGAGACTATATATATGGATCCACCCCCTGGATTTCGGGCTTAGGGGGAGTATACTAGGAAAGTCTGTCTGCTGCGGAAGCCATTTATTGTCTGAAGCAATCTCCTACAGCTTGGTTTAGTCGTTTCAGCAATGTTGTTCTATCTATGGGCTTTATGCGCTGCCACTCAGACCGTACTTGCTTTATTCGACGTCGCTATGATGGTCGCTACATTATGTTATTAGTATATGTGGATGATATCATTATCACGGATGATGATGCTTCAGGGATTGCTCAGGCGAAACTTCATCTTCAAAAGTCCTTTGATGTGAAGGACTTAGGTCCCCTTCGATATTTTCTTGGAATTGGGGTTGCTAGATCCCGTCTTCTTCAAGATACTGGCATGCTTGGGTGTCGACCCGCTTCCACTCCTATAGACCCCAATCTCAAACTCTCTGTTGAGTCAGGGGAATTACTTTCAAATCCGTCCGTATATCAATGTTTGGTAGGTCGTCTTATCTACTTGACTAACACAAGGCCCGATTTAACATTTGTTGTTAATATGGTTAGTCAATTCATGCAAGCCATTCGCTCAGCTCATATGGATGCAGTCTACCATATTTTGAGATTTCTTAAGTCGTGCCTTGTTCTATGCCTCAGGAAATTAGTCTAGACTCTCATGCTTTACTGATGCAAACTATGCTAGATGTAAGACAGATAGACGTTCTACCTCTGGCTTCTATACTTTCTATGGTAATCAGCTCATATCATGGAAGAGTAAGAAGCAAGCTGTTGTCTCCAGATCCTTTGTTGAAGTTGAATACCGAGCTATAGCTCAAGGTACTTGTGAGCTCCTTTGGCTTCAATCAATTTTAGGAGAGTTAGGTCTTGTAGAGAAAGGTTCTTCAAGGCTGTTTTGTGACAATAAATCAACCATTATGCTTGCTTCTGATTTTGTCTTACATGAAAGGTCGAAACATATTGAGGTAGACATTCACTTCATTCGAGAAAAGGTTCGATCAGGTATCATTAATCCTATTTTTGTTCCCTCTTCAGAACAGACTACAGATGTGTTCACAAAGTCTGTTGGGCCTTCTCTTCTCCAGTCTTCCATAGTCAAGCTAGGCTTGGTCAACATATTTGCTCCAGTTTAAGGGGGAGTGTTGGAAATCATATCTATAAGTTGACTCAATGATTGTAGCAAATTTATTGGGTCTTCATTATAGGCTAATGTTTAGGCTTTTGTTTAGGGATTCGATTTTTATTCAGATTTAATTTTTATTCTCTTTCCATATTTGTAATTTTCCTCTCGTATATAATGATAGTCAGGCTCTCAAATTGAGTACGCCAATTTTACCAAATTACTTTTGTATACACAAGAAAACTGATAAAAATGGTATCTTACCAACAGGGAAAAAAAAATAGTCCCAATTATACAAGCTCTTAACACTTCATAGGCAGGAATGAGAAGGAAAAGTTGGCTATATTGTTCCTATGTTCACATACTCTGCTCCTAGTCAATATACATGTAAGCAAACCTAAAAGGCGCAAAGCACACCCAATGCATTATTTTATGCACACGTTCTAGTAATATACTAATGATCCTTGTGATAAGTAGCCAATTCAATGAAACTTACAAATGTATAAGAACCATGTTCGAGCTGAAAAGCTGAGATGGAATTTCACCGGATAGATTATTCTTTCCAAAGTGACTGCAGTTGGACATATTTAGTAAGAAGAAAGTAGAGTTCAAAGTAATAAGAACTTGTTAGCTCAAACATACAATAAGATTATAGAACTAAGTAATAGGAACTAGTTAGCTCAAACATACAATAAGATTATAGAACTTACAAGTGCTTCGTATGAACTAGCATATCCAGACCAGGTGTGATCCCATCAGAAACTGGGATGGCTCCACTAAGTTTGTTATCAAAAAGATCTAGCCAATATAGATTTGATAGATTTCCAATGGAAGGTGGTATTGGTCCGCTGAAGCTATTAGAATTCAGAGATCTGAAGAATACACAACGAAGACCTATCAGAGAGAGAGAGATAATACAAAAAGAAGAGAGGTGGGAGTGTATTCAAGACATGGAACTGCACTGAAAATTCCAAGTCACTTTACTTACTGGCGTTTTTCAGCCGCAAATTTGTGGAATATAAACATGTAAAACGCAACTCATATAAATTAAAAGAATGGACCTTCTGATGCTAGATTGAAAGAATCACAAATCAGATCCCATGTTCAATTCTGTAGTCTTCAAAGCAACTAACAGGAGTGAGTGCGGAAGTAGCTAGGTTCAGGGGCATGATGGAAGAAGTGCTTTTCTTCATCATGTTTAGAAGTTTGGGATGCTTAAAGAGCTCTCAAATAACACATACACAGAAGGTATACAAAATAAAAAATATGTAATTAATATCTTGCAACAAAATCACATTTGTAATGAAAGAAACTTTATTTAAATCAAACTCCTATACATTAAGAGAGCATCAAAAGTCACACATTTTTTTAAATCAAATTCATATACAATAAGAGAGCATTGGCCAATTCATAAAGATAGTTTTTTTCATTACAATCATGATTAAGGAAAACTCGTTGTTGTCAAGGCTTTAAAACTGAAATATAACCTTTCAGCTTCCCTGTAGTATAATTATTTCAAAAAGATGAAATAATTTGAGTTATAGTGTCGTACAAAAACTTTGATTTTGCAACAGATTAGTTCCAAGTCCTATGATTCACGGACTTGTATCACAAAGGTTTGTGAATTTTAAATGGTCTTAGCAACAAGCTTGGAGTCACACTTCTGAAGCAGACTGTCAACTAAGATAAAAAATTGTGCGGCCTTGACTTCCAGCCTCTTTCAAATGCAAGGACTATTTCAAAACTCACATCTGACATGATACTTGGATTTTTATAGAAACATGCATGTTCATTAAGTCTCACATAAAATAGAACAATAATACCAGATTTGAAATCCTTACAAGAAAACCAGCTGCTGGAGAGATCCTATTGAGTCTGGAATCATACCACTAAAACTGCAACCGGCCAGAATTCTGATGCAGAGTAGAATCAATTGGTTTATCAGAGCATTGTAACTACCATTTTAGTTATCAGCTAAAATTTTATTAAATCAATAAAAATTTCCTTACAAGTTTGATAACTTCTTTAAATTTCCAATTGATGAGGGAAGAGATCCCTTTAAGCCGTTGTTGTATGATAGATCCCTGTACACAGAAGCAGATAATCAAATATCAGTTATACCAATTCTTTCCAGGAAATTAAAAATAAAAAGTCCATTCCAAACTGCTTCTATTAAAAAATAAGAGAATACAGTCATGTAGGGGGTGTAGAATCTTGCCAGGTTAGGCATGAAAGCGAACTATTAACATCATTAGTCGTGGTGCCATATCCTCTAATAAAAAATTATTAAGATGATTTAATTATGATGCAAAATAAATAAGGTCTCAACAAAATAATTGAACAGAAGCAAAGAAACATTCATCATGCTCTGTTAGATCTGAAATAATTTCAATTTATTCCTTACTGAGTCACATATTTGGCTTTGAAGAGTTATTTTTGAAGTAGCATTTGGATGTTCCAACTTCTGAGGAAAGGACATAAGTCAAACTAGTCAGTCAATTTAATGTAAGGGGAGATAAATGATACATGGTGTTATTGATAAACTCAAAACTAATTTTTGCTGTTATGAAAATTAACGCAATTTGCCAGCATCATACAACTAATTCTTGTCGTCAAAATTGTGTTATAAAGTGTAGCAGACTAATTACAATTCTCATGGACATACAAACATCCTATTAATTAAAAAACAGAAAAAATTATCCCCAGAAAGAAATTTGTCCTCTGAATAGATTCTAAAATGTTTAGTCCACAAAGGCATGTCTGAGGAGTTCACATTTTTAGCTGTGAACACAAGTATATTTGGGTACTGCAACCTGAAGAACGATGGTATCAGAAAAGCCAAAGAAACACAAACCAAAAAGAGCAAAGGTAACTCGATGTCTTTTTATATAGTTTATGAACTGGATTCCATGTAGGAGAGAGGAGGAAGAGTGCACATAGAACACATACAGAGTCTGCAACTCAGATAATGACTGGATGTATCCAGACAGCTGACCAATCAAGTTCATGCTTGATAGAAATCTGAAATTAAAATTGGTCAGGTTAAACTCAAATTATATGATGTGGCAGAATAAGCTGCAGAATAAGTTATACTAATCTTCCTTAAGCAGTAACATGATGAAACAAGCCAAGGACTTACATGGAAGTCACGCGTGAATTGTTGCACTTGATTCCTTCCCAATCATTACCACATGGATCAGAGCCAATCCAACTGGATGGTGCGTTCTTCCAGCTATCCATGAGAGATTTTAAAGCAACAACTGCAACACAAATTCAGAAAATAAAATTTACTTTATTATTTTACGTACCAATAACTAATTTTTGCGTAGATAAACTATAAAATATACTCCGGACTAACTGACCATCAAAAGGAATTGAAAGCTGAGAAGCATTAGCTTAACCTTTGAATTTTGATGAATAACTGGCAAACAATAATTCATGATACCAGAAAAGTATAATCAAGACCATTTTAACATATTGAATATACTTGTGTGCCAAATTAGTTGATGACTCACACATCAAATCCTTAGATATGAGTGAATTGTCAGTATTCAGCATACTGCATGAGGGCTGAGGGTAGTTTCTAAATCAGATTTATACATAGCAGTTTTTAAGATTATTCTCCTTGGAATAGGATGCAAAACTGAAAGAAAACATCGGCTGTTAGATGCAGTTACGAGCACAATATGTATTCAACTATTTCTTTGCTGTAATAATATGCATTTTCTTTACTTTTCTTTCATTTTCCCAGCACCCAAACAGAGAATATCTATAAGAAGATTGAAAATGAGCCAAACTAAAGAAGCAGGCAATAAAGCACTATCATGCACATACCATCAAACACTAGTTTATCCAATCATTGTTATGGAACTAGAACATTGTGAACAAGAGCTGATAAAACGTACAATCTTGATTATCGGCCTCCACTCTTGTAACCACACTTTGGATGGAAATAACCAACAGAAAGACCTGAACTTTTAAACCCATCACTCCAAATCCTATGAAGTTCATACCTTCCACCACTCTCTCTTACAGTTTGAATTGCGAATTAACTGAATTCTTTAAGAGAAGAAAAAATCTTAATCACACTTGTCTACTGTTTATGACCTTTCTTCAATTCATGGAGTTTCCCTGCAAGCTAATACCCAGCCACCAAGTCTCCATTTTGAACTTTTCAACCAACCATCCCCACTTTCCCAAAACTATATGAATCTAATTATATAACATATGTTATTGTTCACATAAAAAAATAATAATAATAAATAAACAAACGGGCAAATTACACTCACCCCTGAGGTTTGTTCTAATTACTTACAGATCGAAAATGGCCTTAATTACACCAACCTCCCTTGATTAAGGAATGGCTTACGGAGTTAAATTTGAGTAGTGAAATGTCATGTTTGCCTACATTTTTAATATTTTTTTTATTAAAAGAACTGAATTTGAAATAACCATGTTACCCTTACCCAAAAAAAAAAGGCCATCTCTCTCCCTTCTCCACTGGACCTTTGTTTGAACAATCAATAAGAGGGTTCTTCAATCTCTTCCACTTCATCTGAATTCTCTATTCACACTAGCAAGAAAATATCCTGGCCTACTCGTTAACTAGTGATTCCGCAACTCGGTGTCCTGGCCTACTAGTGGTGGTCGAAAGCGTTACAGAACATTTCCGAACACGGGTTTGGTCAGAATCAATCGAACTGCATCAATTACTCCGCCACCAGCTTCCCTAAAATCATCCTCATTGCCACTACAGTCTACATACATATCTCTAGTATTGCATCGGTAAGGTAAGCCGATAATGAGTTAACTCATTTCTAGCAACTACATCTTTTTTTTCCAACTTGAATTATTCTTATTCCTATTGATATATTGCAATAGGGATTGTTGGCACCCATTTCGAAAACGGTGAACAAGGAGAGGGTGCAGAGCCAACAATATCTTCACCGTGTGGGGCGGTGGGTCATGACACAGACATGTGGCAGAAGCTAAAAACGGACACAAATTGGAAAACCTAAATTGTGTGTGTGTGTGTAAAAATAAAAATAAAAATAAATAAAATGTAGTAGATACATGAGAAGAAGAAGCAGACCCAATTTGGGTTGTGCCGGCGAAGTGACTGGAGCTTTGTGGGTCTCCATTGCGAGTTTCCGATAGCTTCGTTCGGGTAAAGCGGCTTCACCGGTGCCGGAGATTTCATGGAATCTGATTTTCTTTGCTCGAAGCTGAATTTGGGGATTCACATCGATTGGTGAACACAGGTTTCAAAGGAGACCAAAAAGCTCTGATTACAACGGAGTCTTTGGATTATGCAGCGTTGCTCCATATCTCGATATCTGATGTGTTGTTGTTCATGGCTTCTGGCTCTGATTAATGCGTATGAGTAATTTTAGAGAGAGAGAAAGAGAAGGCAGTAGGGGTAGAGAGAGCCATGGCAGAAGAGAGGAAGAGAGAGCGTGTTTTGGTATTATTGGAATTTTGTGAATATCTAGGGCTATTAACGTCTTTTTAGTGAGCCAATATCAAAGTTTTATATACCATTCTAACCATTATATGTTGATATTATAAATGAAAAGGAAAAATAACAAAACCTTCCTATATTGTTAAATAGTATAAAAAATCTCACCAAAAATTAAAAAATATTATCAAATTACTTCCAAATCGATATAAAATAATAAAATTATTTTTATAATTTAATTATTAAATTTAAAATTTATAAATAATATTATTATAAAATTACAAAAATACGTGAGACCCTCAATACCAACTCCTCCTTCCTAAAACTCTCACCACAACACTCAGATGCTCTGCTCATCCAATCATATCTCTCCACACTCAGATGGCTATCATTGTTATTACTCTGAGCCCCACACAGAGAGAGAGAGTGAGAGAGACTGTTTGGTTTAATTGTACGTACTAATTAATTTTGTTTGTTTTTGCTAAATTAGCTTAATTTCTGGAAGCGGTTTGGGTTTCTTTTTGTTGCAGGCAAGAAGTGATCTGTGAGCAGAGGAAGCAGAGGAATAGAGATTTAGAGAGAGAGAAAGAGATGGGGCTCCTTACCAACAGAGTGAAAATAAATGAGATCAGACCAGGCGACCATATCTACACTTATAGAGCTTATTCTCATCACGGTAACCACACTTTGTCTCTCTACTTTCTCTCTCCGCACGTATTCTCTCTGTACTGTTGACCCAACAATGATGATTTTCAAGAACCTTCTCTGAAACATGCAATGTACTTTTTTTTTTTTTTTCCGGAAAATGGGTAATTTAAGTTTTTTTTTCTTCTATATTCGTTTTAATTATTTACCTGGTTCATTTTAACTTTTAGAATCTATGGCGAATGTGCAATTGGATATTAGGGTTTTCCTTTTTATGTTTTTATTTTTGTGGTTAGTATAGGGTATTAGGGTTATCTTCACAATTTCTGAGTTGTGTTTCATCGATGTCTGATATTGGCTAAAATAAAAAAAATGTTTCATCATGATGTCTGATAAAGCATCAAAATGTTTAGTTGCCTAGGAATGGGTTTCTTTGAGGGATTTGGTGAATAAATGTACTCTTCCTGAGTCTTCTCCCTCAAGGAGGTGTTGAAGGGAGAAGAATCGGGTATTTTTTAAATTTTATAATAATATTATAAATTTTAAATTTAATTATTAAATTATAAGGATAATTTTGTTATTTTATACCGATATAATGGTAGTTTTATCATTTTATATCGATTTGGGAACAATTTGATGATATTTTTTTAGCCTAGGGTGGTTTTTAATTTTAGTGAAAAAAATTTCACCAATTTGATAACATAGGGGTCTAATTATTTGAATGCTACTCACTGAATAAATATATATATTTTTTAATGTAATACTAAGTTATAATTAATTGATAATATACTGGTATTATTGTACATAGTAATAAACAATGACATTCTTAATTTTGACAATTAAGAGTTCAAGACAAATCTCTAATTAATAAAAAAATGTTTCTAATATTTTGTCACCTGATATTAAATAACTTATCAAAAAAATAATACGTATATTTTGTCACCCCCACCAATGAAAAGCTCCCCAACTCTCTTAAAAAGAGTTTTGCATAGGTGGGGATATTACGAGGCAATCTGTGTATTATTTACTTGAGTAATACTATTATACAATAATGTTCACATCCAGTTTGATGTAATGGTGATACTTACTTGATAGATGTAATTGTAGACTTTTTTTTTTTTTTTTTTTCTTTGTGAGAGTCCTCTCTCATGACAAGCTCTCTTTGTCTAATTAATGAATTAAAATATTTGTTAAATAATTATTTAAATTTTTACACATTCCAAAAAATTATCTCAATTTAGTGTTTAAATAAAGAAAATTCATGCCTCTTGTCATTAGAAGATTGAACGTTTAAAACTAAAATTAGTAAAATTGGGAACTAAAATTTTTTACAATTTTAAAATTTCAATTTTAGGCTATCCCACACAGTTAAATACTTCCTCCACACTTGCCAAATGTGTATAATGACTAATTCTCATGACTTCATTCTATTTCTAATTTCCATAACCAAAATTAGAAAGGACACAATGCACAAATAGTCAACGGAATGACTTTTATTTTATACAGGTCAATATAATTGACTATTTTATATTTTCTTGCTCCATCAGAGGGTGAAAAGGATAAGGCCGGCCTCCACGATCCCTTTCGTCCTGCTCCTGAAGAAAATGTCATGCAACTGTGCTGGCCGGCTTATACTCTATTGAGGACGGATTTGAATTCTTCTTCTTGATTATTTTTTTATACAAACATTTCCAAACCATTATTAAATGACAAAAAAAAAAAAAAAAAAAAAAAAAATCAGTCATTATTTTTATAATTAATTATTATGTTTTGATTTTATATATAAATTAATTCAGAATTACTCATAACTCCTATGTCATTAAACAACTAAATATTTTTCAAAGTACTTTGATATTTGGACGAGTCAGAAATTAAATACGATAAATAACCTTGTATTTATGAGTCAAATGGTAAGGTGATCGTTTTACAATTTATAAATACGAAAGATTTATCTTATTTTATCTATAAATAAGTTCAAAATTAAATTTGAAATATCACACCTTTTTCAAAGGTCTAAACTTTGATTTTGAGATGTGTCCATTAATGGAATATGCATTCATAAAATTCAAAATAAATGGTTTTGCTTTAAAAAAAAAAAAGAAAAATTGATCAATAGTTTTTGACTTTTTGACCAATTAGACTGTGATTATACAATCACAAAATTTGAGTGTGTACACTTATTTTTTTACCAAAAGCAAAGATGATCGGTTGTCAACTTCACAATATCCAACACTTCTTTTGCTAAACTCCAACAGCATATGTTGGATCCTCCTCGTGAGGATGAAAAGGATCCCATGAGCAAGAGTTCGTTACCCTAATTTATATATACTTGTATTTTCTATAAGTAATTTTCTAAAATCTAATTATGGGTGAACACAATGAAAATCTAGTTATGAGTGAAGATAATGAAAATCAAAAGAAAAAAACAAAAATTATTTGAGTGAAAGAAGGCTTTTTGCCCAATTCTTATATTCTTAAATCTCTCTTAGTTGGGCTCGGCCCATGTTTTTAAACTCATCAACTATGGGCGAGTTGCATTTTAAAAGCTAGCCCAATCTGGGCAGAAGTGGATGCAGATGGACTGAATTACTACATTTTTTGCTATATTTTATAATTTGGTCTGAATATAATGTATATACGTTTATGTCTTAAAAAAAAATGAAATTTAAATATAACAAGTGATAACGTGACATGTTCACAACCATAGGATGGTCAGGTATACCAAGTGGCGCACCCAATATATACTCTTAGGTTTAGATTAGAGATACTACAAGAGAGAATCTTTCCTATAACCTCCTCTCAATTTCTATCATCTATTTCCAATATTCTCTCTAAAATACATGTACCAATTCTTGTTCCCATCTAATAGTAACAATATGTGTAGTACCTTCCTGTGATTTACCAATGGTCGTTGCATGAGCAGACCCCATTTTTAAAACAATGAAACCTATTGTTGTCCCTAACAATGATCTCTCTTCCCTCCAACTTTGAGATCATCTTTATAGCCACATGACAATCCCAGCACATCCTTAGGTTCTTCACAACCCTAATCACTGTCCCTGCCTTACTAACAAGAAGGGCAAAAGCAATGGCCAATTTTTCGCTATGAGTGCCCACCATCTCTTCCTTCTCTTCCTCCTCAACCTCTCTTAGCACACAGCTCTTATCGGCTACATATCCAGCAACCCTCATCTTCTTTCTTAGCTCTGCCAATATTCTATAAATGTCATCCGATCGTTCATGTATCCGATCGGCTACTATGAAGTTATGCAGTTTTCCATCATGTTCCACCCAACTCCATCCAGTTGTCTTCTTCACTCCCCCTTTTCTCATTGCCCTTCTCACCCTCTCAACATCTTTCCACCTCCCTGCCGAAGCGTAGATGTTTGAAAGCAGAACATAGTTCCCTGAATTTTCTGGTTCAAGCTCAAAGAGCTTGTTTGCAGCAAGCTCTCCAAGGTCGAGTCTTTTGTGAACTCGGCAAGCATTCAGAAGTGACCCATATACTCCCGGGTGAGGCTGCATTGGCATTTTCTCGATAAGTCTCATTGCTTCATCTACTTTGCCCACTCGTCCTAACAAATCAACCATGCATGCATAGTGGTCTGTATCTGGAGCTCTGATTGATTTGAAGATCTTTCGGCCTTCTTCTAATAATCCCGCATGGCTGCATGCTGTTAGGACACCAATATATGTTATGCGGTCTGGTTCAATGCCCTCTTCTTGCATCTTCCACATTAGTTCAACAGCTTTAGCACCATGCCCATAAGCTGCAAAACCGGTGATCATTGTGTTGTACGAGATTACATTTCTTGCTTCCATTTCTTGGAAAAGTTTTGTAGCATCTTTCATGCTTCCGCATTTAGAGTACATGAAAATCAAAGAATTATATCCTGCAACGCTCAGCTTTATCTGGTTTTCAGTTACGAAATTCACAACCCAATTTCCCAATTCCAAAGCCCCTAGATGACCACAAGCTGATATTACACTCACCATAGTAACTTCATCTGGCTTCGAGCCCTTCGTTGCAATCATTTCTTTGAAGAGCTCAATAGCCATTGCTGATTGCCCATTTTGAGCATAACCGGCAATCATTGAGTTCCATGATACAGCATTCCTTTCAGGCATCTTATCAAAGAGCTCCCTGGCCGAAGTCAGATCACCAACTCGTGCATACGCTGAAATCATTGCATTCCACGTGACAGAATTCCTACGAACACCCAACTTATCAAAAATTTCTCGAGCACTTGCAATGTCTCCACACTTGGCATACATGTCAAGAAGTGCCGTCTTGACAAAACAATTCGACCGGATGCACTTCTCATCCAGCATTTTGACAAGTGATTCAGCAAGGCAAGGATCACCATGCGATGAACATGACGAAATGACTGTTACCCACGTTGTTTCATCGGGTTGAAGCCCGGAATTAATCATTTCTCTGAACAGTACTATAGCCTCTTCAGCAAACCCATTCTGAGCATAGCCAGAAAGCATTGCATTCCAAGAAACAACACTTTTCTCAGGCATATTGTTAAAATACCTCCTTGCACTCTCCATATCTTTTATTCTCGAATACCCACTAACCATTGCTGTCCAAGTGATGCCATTCCTCTCAGGCATTAACTCAAACAGCCGGCATGCTTCAACTTCATTTCCCCAATTCCAGTACCCGGAAATAATTGAATTCCAATCCGCAACCATCCTATCACACATTTTATCAAACATCTCACGTGCAAACTCGATCGGACCATGTTTCGCATACATGTCCATGACTGCATTGCGGACAAAACGATCACAATCATGGCCCAATTTCATCACATGACCGTGAACCACAATGCCGGACTTACCGGCCGATTTGATCAAGATGGGGTACACAAATCCATCAGGCCTCACACCACAATTTTGCATTTGGTGAAAGAGAGTGATAACATCTTTGTGGGCACCCAATTGGGAGTGAAATTTGAGCATGTTGGTGAAAACAATGACATTGGGTTGGCTTGCTGAGTCAAAAATGAGGCGGGCATAGGGTGGTGGCGCGTGGAGGCGCGTGCAGAGGCCAATGAGTTGCGCCACCCAATACTCCGTGTGGTGGAGGTGGTGTTGAATGATGTGTGAATGGAGCTGTCTCAGGTGGTTTAGAGTTGTTACTTTCAGTGCTATGGTCCCCAAATGTGACATGAGAAAAACTGTGTGATGGACTTGACCTCTTTTGTTGGATATAACTAACTGTCTGTAGTGAAATGACAGAGTTACCCCTGTAAATGACCAAGATGGACACATTATCCGGTGGTATTTAAGTAATAGGATGAATCTGAATACCACCAATAAAGCAATCAGACAAAATAATTTTGAGCCACTATTCTTATAACAATGAATAAAACCATCAAAAATCCTAACAACAATTACTCAATTAAGTACCTAATCTAAACTTTATACTTAAATCATATAAATAAATAAAAAAACATGAATTCCTAACTCCTAACTCCTAACTCCTAAACTATTTTTAGGGTTTAGGATTTTTTGTAATTTTAAATAAGATTTTTTAGGGTTTTGTTAATAGTGTCCAATATATCAAGATTTTTTTTTATTGTACCATTGTATGTGGACCTATCACTTGTTCATCGACTGGAGTGATGGAGTCTCCACCATAGATAATATCTCTACAATGGGATAGATCATGACGGGACTTGACCGAAAAAGTTTCATGAGGTTATTATGATATAATATCTCATTCTTAAGGGAATATTGAGTATTCTAATTAAGAATAATATTACTAGGTGTTTTTGTTTGAACTTTTGAAAGAAAAAAAATATCAAGAATTAAGAGCTAATCTGTTCAAGTCGTGTAGTGAATAAGAAATTAATTTGGTGATATATGTGGTTTGCGAATGATTGTACATATTTAAGTTTATACCTGGTGACCAAGTTAGAAGAATTCCTTTTTACAAAAAAAGTAATAATAATAAAAATAAAATAAAATAAAATTGTGGAGACGAACAAATCAAATAATATCTAAATTTGAAGCTTCGGCATTTTGTTTTTTTCTATTAGTCTTTAGCCTTTGGTATGAATTATCTACAAGAAATGTTATTGGACTTGAACTTGTTTCTATATTAAACTGTTCAAGAGAAAACATTAGTCCCTTGCAAAGAATTGGAGAATAGTTAACCAAATTGATTGATGTTACAAATTTTGGATTTTCATTTCAGGCTCTAAAAATAAATGAATAAAACTCATCATATTACATTTTTTTAAGGATCAAACCAAAACCTCCGATAACACCAAAACACCAAAATTTTAAATTAGGGTGTGAAAAGTCAATTGAGGAAACTAAGTTAAAACATCATCCTTATCTAATTTCTGTCACAACAGATTGGTTGTGATAAGATAGTAATGATAGAGGACAATTGACCAGGTTCATTCATTGATGACACATTTTTTTTATTATTATTGATCCCTTGAACTTAATTGAATTATTTCAATCAAATCTCAATCATAGTCTAACTAAAAAGAAGATAACTCCATGCATGATCAACAAAAAATGAATATCCCAGTTGTTTCGAAAATCCAAGTTAGTCTCATTAAAAAGAAGATAACTCCATGCATGATCAGCCAAAAATGTATATCCCAGTTGCCTCGAAAATTCAAGTTGTTATATTTTGAAATATCGAGCTCAATACCTCTCACTTGAGGGAGGAGAAGTTATACCAGTTAAACTAATGACTCAGTAGTTACTTCTTCCGATCCAATCATACATGCCCTGTTCGGGCGCACATTCGTAGCATCATTACCGACCTTAAATTCGCCTTGTGTTGGATCGAGCTCCATTAATCATTAATTCATGGACCCTAGGCTTTTCTTTAGTTGTGTTTGCAGCATTATTAAAGCTGGTGTTTCTTTTTGATTGGATGAGTTCTATCTTCATGGTGTGATAATGGAACTATATTTATGTTATGTAACAAATAGATACAAACAATACTAAACTGTCGTGGTTGTTAGGATGGCTTCAATCAAAAAAACAACATGCACCGCATTATTGATTTGCATTAACCCTTCTTCTTAAAACCTAGCACTGATAATTGCCACTCATGATACTTTGTAGGGCTTGCTACTATCACACGCACTCATTGTCTATCCAGCTAAAAGTAATAAGCGGTCCATCATTAAATATTCTTTGATATTTGCACTTCAAATAAAGAGTGTTGTTTTTATGTTTCTGTATTTATGTGCCCTTTGGGAAGTTTTTCTTAGTATATTATATGACTCATGAGAATGGAATTAGTATGAAATGTTGACATTGCTCTTCCACTACCAAAAATTAAAAATTAAAAATTAAAATTAAAATAAAAATTACAAAATAACCTACATTTATGTTTTCACATTAATCCTTTGAAATTGCAAGAGTTCATTATTTGGTGTGATTGTAAAGGAATAAGGTTTGTGGTGGATGTGAATTAAAAAAAAAAAAAAAGGTAAATTATATCGTTCTTTTATGAAGTTTGAGCAAATTACACAACGTTAGGTCATTCAGCTATTTTATTTGACCTTTTCTAAACCCGTTCGCTATTTGCCGAAAAGGAATCGATTTTGAGTGCAAAAAGTCAATAATGCCCTGATTTACATATAAAGAATGAACAAGATTTCCATACAAGAGAAAGATAACATTGTCATTTACAAAATTTGGCTGGTCCACCGAGCACACAGGACAAATCTCAAGGGATGTAAATATAATAAATGTTGAACGGTTTACTCGTGTATAATGTGTCTAAACTTCAAAAAAAAATCAATGTAATTTGCCCATAAAAACAGTAGACACTACGGTGGCAAAATAAATCAGATGCATGAACAAATTTGTTTGGTTTATAGTTATGAAAATAGTTTTTTGTTATCAGAAAACTGAAAACTAAAAACTGAACAATAAATTCTGATTGGTTCAGTTTTTTCAAAATTGTTTTATGTATGAAAACCCAGTTATAAAATGTCTATTTTCAGGAAACTAGAAAAGATTGTTCTCTGGGAACAATTTTTTGTTTTTTGAGTTCTTGAAAAATATTTTCGGAATTACAAACCAGACATAAATCCATGTACTCTCTTCCTCTCAATATTTCATGTAAGCGGAACTAGTAGACAATGGCCTTTTAATGGTTAGAAGTTGATTTGGGAAAGACTTTATTGAAAAATTTGTGGCAACTTTGTATTCTCAATACAATACTGTAATTTGTAGATGACTTTTAAGCAATTTTCATTGTTTTTATTTTCCATTTTGATGCAAATGATTGTAGCACACTAGCGATGCCTTTCCTAACTAATTAAGACATGGCGTGTTATGATTATTCAATGAACAGCCCCCCTATCAATTCAAAGGATGCATGTGATATCAAATTTGTTTGTAGATGGAGGAGCATGTTCTAACAATAAGATTAATTTCAATAATCTAATGCATTGTGCTGATCCTTCAATACACTATTCATCTTTCACTAATGTATCACATGTTTTAAAGAAAGGGGGTGGTGTTATTTATATCTAGTACCTTTTGTTTGATTGTAGAACATTAACATGAGTGAGTGAGACCGCCGAGGGGGGGGGGGGGGGGGGAGATATATATATAGAGAGAGAGAGAGAGACATTAACATGAGAGAGAGAGAGAGAGAGAGAGAGAGAGAGAGAGAGAGAGGTAGAGGTGGTGTTATATATTTTATCATTTGTCTTAGAACTATATATTTATGTATATTAATTAACATGAATGATAAATAATAATTGAGAGAGACATGGCAAGGAAAGGTGCTTAATTTTGTGGCCTCAAAAGGGGTGTGTTGCTTTATTAGTATAAAAAGAAGAAGATGATCACTAATTCCCAAAGTTGGAACAATGGCTTTATTGTCTTTGTTTTTCTTCGCTCATTGACTAGTGACTACACCACAAACAGGTAACAGGTACAGATCTAGAAAAAAAGGTTTAATATATATAGATCATGTGGATTCAAAACCTCCCAGTCTATTTATGAATCAATGTTATGTTATATATATATATATATATAACCACATTAATTATTTCTTTACTCAAAAAGAATAAAAATGATTTGACTAAACAAATACAAAAGGGTTTTGGATATTTGGTCTATTTTTTACGGTTTAAAGGAACTTAATATTAAACTTATCAACAAATATGTTTTTTTACCTGTAGGTCCCACACTCCCACCTCATTGTGTAAGAAAATGTGTGTATTCTCAGGATAGTTTAGGATCTGTTTTTTTTTATATAAATTCATGTAAATATTGGATGCTCTTGATAAAAAGGTATTGCCATTTTCTGATCAATTGAAAGCTTCTTTCAGATTTACTCACCTTAGGACTTCTTCACATGATAATTTGATACAAACATGTCCCTTTTTTTCTTATTCATATATCTATCTTTCTCTGCATAGGTTACTTTTTATTTGAAGTTTTGTCCCCTAAAATTGTTCTATTTTATTTATTTATTATTTTTTTTTTTTGTATTTTGGAGTTACAATAATATTTATTGAAACAAAATTTCAAGTCATTGAGTTATATATTGAAATTCAAAGTTATTTTGTCGAATCTTTTAGACTAGAAGTACCACTTGACTACTACAACTTTTCAAGGTTTTATATGTTGGGTATGATCAATTTTTTACTGTTGTAGTTTACTAGTTTCACAAATTAATCATGATGTATTCAAGTTGCCATAGTAATTAAAGTGCACACCTTAATTTGTGTAGAATATTTTCGTTAATTATCTATGTTACGTTTAGGAGTACTGAATCGTCGTATTGAAATTAAAATTAGAGGAATAACATATCACCCACTTTCCTCTAAGAACATGAAACAGTTTGCAAAAAGAGTGTTTTTATTAGATTGATGCTAGCCAGCTTCTTTTAACTCTAGATTTAAAGAGTGGTTTTATAAATACAGTTAATTAAACATTTTTTTTATACTAGTTTTTGTTTTTTAATTCTTTGAAAATAAAAAATGTGAAGTAAATGAAACGTAGAGCAGGAAAATGTAATTTGAGAGATTTTGATTACTAAATATTATCTGTTCAAAAAAAAAAAAAAAGATTACTAAATATTATGATGATAATAATAATAAATACTAATAATGTTTATGGCTTTGACAATGATATTGTTTTTACGATGAGGTTATATAACTAATAGTAACAAAACATAGTTTATCTGGTTTCCCACTCACTATTTATGATTAGAAATTTCATTATCAATCAAGAGTCAACTTTTCAATATCAGAACATTCTAAATATTATGCGTTCAAAGATGCATCAATCATCTCTGTCCCCCACCCATTTTAAGGTAGGACTAATACCACCCAATACTTAAAACAATGGAAAATAAATAAATAAATACACACACACACAAATCCCACCCAAAAAAAAAAAAAAAAAAAAAAAAAAAAAAAAAAAAAGAAGGTGGAGAAGGTGATTAATGGCCAGTTTGGCATGTGCTTTAGTTTAGGTATTTTATTTTTGAATAAAACAGAAACAGTGTTTTACTGTATGAGTACACACACACACACAAACCCCACCCCAAAAAAAAAAAAAAAAAAAGACAAAAAGAGGTGAAGAAGGTGATTAATGACCCGTTTGGCATGCGCTTTAGTTTAGGTATTTTATTTTTGAATAAAACAGAAACAATGTTTTACTGTATGAGTATTATGAAAAAAAAAATTAAAAATACGTTTGAGAACTATATTTTATTGTGAAAATATCAGAAACAGAAACATGAACCATTATGATTTTGGGCCATGAACAATTGTCAAAATAAAAAAAAAAAAGAATTTTTTAATATTTTGGTTGTGTAAAATAAAACAAGCCTACACTAAATATACTTTTATTATTAAAATCAATACTATAACAGTTCAAAAACAAAAATAACAAAAACAAAACCCATACCAAATCGAAGAGTTCGAACATGATTAGAAGCAAGTTGTTGTGACACATAAATTTTATTTAACTTCCATATATATATAAATGTTCTTAGAAAAATTGAAAAAATTAATGATTTTAGAAATATTCTAGTAAAGAATATTTGGGGCTCGATTTGAAAAACCCCCCAAAATGAGTTTCTCTCCCCAACACGTGTTCCTCAAATATTTTAAATGCAATTTTTTTTAAAGAAATTTTTTTTTTTTTTTCTTTTACGACATCAACTGTCCCAATACTCAGAGGAGTTTGTGAATAGTATAGTATATATATTAGTGTTTCTTATTTTATTTTATTTTTATATTTTTGAATTGAGAGTGATGTCAAGTCATTTAAAATATCTAATACTCTAATTCACTAGGAATAAGCACACACATACATATAAATGGAAAGAAATTCAAATCTTAATAGCAAGTTCAAGTCATTTGACTTTTTTTTACCAAATCATTATTTATTTAATTTTTCATAATTTTTAAATAAGTACGAAATTTAACAAATTATATATAGCGTAATAAATTATATATAAAAAAAAATCTGTGAAAAAAAAATTATAACATAAATAGGATAGAAAATTATAAATGCAGAGGCAGACAAAAGTAAAGATTAAATTTGAGACAAATAAAAACAAATAAAAAGAGAATCTGATGTGTTGTGAAAGTGTCTTGGCGGATTTGGAGGGAGTTTCGATTTTTATGTCTTTTTTTTCCTCTTCCGATTCCGATGATTCACATCACAACATTACGCTCCTCCATTTTCGTGTCTGTCACCAACTAAAACCCTAGTCATGTCTATTCCCTAAAATCTCTCCACACACATACATTTATACATACATATATATATATATATATATCTATCTCTGGATTAATTTATATAGCTGTAAAAGAAAACCTGTCAGATCTGCACATTTCACCTTCTTTCTTCCCTATCATTCATCACATCTCTTCATTACCATTTACCCCCTTTCAGTCAAACTCTCTCTCTCTCTCTCTCTCTCTCTCTCTCTCTATCTATCTCTATCTATATATACATATACATATATATCACCTCTTCATTACCCCTTTCAAGTTTCAATCAAACCCTGTCTCTATATATACACTCTTCTCTCTCTATATATTTGTGTATATACAAGTGTATTTATGATCAGATAAGTGGAAATGCGGTGCTATAAATAAGGTTTCTTTTTTATCTCTGTTAGTGTTCTTTCAATCTCAATCAAAATACTAACTACAGTAATGTCAGAAATGCGCGGTGGTGGTGGTGGTGGCAGAGGCGGTTTTGATCCGAGCAATCTCCACTTGAGGAAGGAGCTGACTCAAATCCGAAAGGCTGCTCGCGTGCTTCGAGATCCCGGGACCACTTCCTCGTGGCGGTCGCCGCTCAACTCCGCCAGATCGGCGGCGGCAGTGAATGTAGCTTCTTCTTCCACCAATCACTATCTTCACCAGTACAAGAATGGGAATAACGTCCCAATTGGTGGTGACGATGGTGTAGAGAACGGTAATGGTAATAAGGTTTCTGATTCGCATGCTCAGTTTCCTTTCCGAGTCGAAAGCAATGGGAAAGAGAAGAAGGTGTTTCTGTACAACTGGAGGAGTCAGAGATCATCGAGCGAAAAGAGTGATCAGAGAGTGAGACGAGACAGTGGTGGAAATCAACAACAAAGGGGTGGTGATGATGATGATGATGGTGATGGGTCTTCTTCGGTTCCGGAGGAGAGTGTTGAGGACAGCTTGAGCGATGCCCGAAATGGCGGTGATTCGAGGAGTGATACCTGCATTTCTGACCGGTACGCTTCGTTGATCTTTAGATGCAAAGACACAAACCTCACACCATCAATTAGGCGAACAAATTTTAAGAAAAAATCTAAGAAAAATACTTATTCTTCAAGTATGTCTAGACAACAATTGCAACAGATTGTGCGCGGTAGGAATTCGAAGCGAGCACTAGAGGGTTTACCTTCAATTGCTTTGGGGTTGGGTAGGGATGATTCAATTAGCTTGGTTGATCAATCTGAAGATACAGAGGAATACTGTAATTCAGATGATTTTAGACGGATTTCAGCTGCATCCCCATTTCTTTCGAGGCTTAAAAACAAGAACTGGTCTAACTCATCACTAAAATTGTTGAGAAATGGTCGAAAAGAGGATTCTTCTTATTCGTACAGCACCCCAGCATTGTCCACCAGTTCTTACAACAGATATGGTAATCGAAATCCGAGCACTATTGGGTCTTGGGATGGTACAACAGTGTCTTTCAATGATGGGGACGATGAGGTGGATGATCAGATAGACTTGCCGGGTCGCCAGGGATGTGGGATTCCTTGTTATTGGTCGAAGAGGTCTACTCCTAAGCACAGAGGGGTTTGTGGGGGTTGTTATTCGCCCTCGCTTTCTGATACTCTGAGGAGGAAAGGAAGCAGCATTTTGTGTGGAAGCCAAACTATGTATCATAGACGTCGAGGATCCTCAGGTTCAAACAAGAGGAGACTTGCTTCTAGGGCTGCTCAAGGTCTTGTACCATTGCTTACTAATAGTGGTGATGGCCGACAAGGGTCATCTGTAGGAACCGGTCATAGTGATGATGAACTTTCAACAAACTTTGGGGAGCTCGATTTGGAGGGACTGAGTCGACTGGATGGAAGGAGGTGGTCATCAAGCTGTAGAAGTCAAGAAGGGTTAGAACTAGTAGCTCTAAATGGGGAAGGAGAAGAGGCAAGTACCCCAGATAATATTAGGAGTTTGAGCCAGAAATACAGGCCAATGTTCTTTGAGGAATTGATAGGGCAGAATATTGTAGTCCAGTCACTAATGAATGCAATTTCAAGGGGAAGGATTGCTCCTGTTTATCTTTTTCAAGGTCCCCGTGGGACTGGAAAAACATCAACAGCAAGGATTTTTGCTGCTGCCTTGAATTGTCTTGCAACTCAAGAAACTAGGCCATGTGGGGTCTGCAGGGAATGCACCGATTTTATTTCTGGTGAAACCAGGGATCTGAGAGAAGTTGATGGCACCAATAAGAAGGGAATTGATCAAGTCCGATACCTTTTAAAAGGCTTGTCAATGGGGCCACCATCAGCCCTCTCACGGTACAAGGTTTTTGCTATTGATGAGTGTCATTTGTTGCCCTCTAAGACGTGGTTGGCATTCCTTAAGTTTCTTGAGAAACCACTTCCACATGTTGTATTCATATTCATAACAACTGATCTTGACAATGTGCCTCGTACGATATTGTCCCGGTGCCAAAAGTACCTCTTTAGCAAAATCAAAGAAGGCGACATTGTGACCAGGTTGAGGAAAATTTCTGCTGATGAGAATTTAGATGTCGAATCAGATGCATTGGATTTGATTGCTTTGAATGCAGATGGTTCACTTCGGGATGCAGAAACTATGCTCGATCAGTTGAGTTTGCTAGGAAAAAAAATTACTACTTCTCTGGTGAATGAGCTTGTGAGTTCATGCTACCCTTGCTTCCTATACGGAGTTTGCTTTAAAATTGAGTTCCTTGAGATATATTTTTTTCTTTACCAAGTTCTTTAAATATTTCATGTTACCTAATAGAGTTTCTGCTATAATATGCTTCTAGTGACTTTGGTTGTTTAGCTTGGTTTTTAATATTTTAGCTTGCGACTTTTAGATGAAAACTAAAGCTTTGCCACATGGCTGAAGCTTCAATTTTGGATTTCTGTTCCGAACTTTGACCTTGACAGTTTATTCCCCTTCCCCCTCTCCCCTCCCCTCTCTCTTCTCAAACAATATTATCATAATGTTCGACAATTGTAGCAACCTCGATATATACACACACACACACACACACACACACACACAACTTTATTAGAATCATTCAAACTCATGTATGTAATTTCCCTTCTTCCTTGTATAGGTGGGGGTGGTTTCGGATGAGAAACTATTGGAACTTTTGGAGTTAGCCATGTCATCAGACACAGCAGAAACTGTTAAAAGAGCAAGGGAGTTGATGGACTCTGGGGTTGAACCAATGGTTTTGATGTCCCAAATGGCTACCCTTATTATGGATATTATTGCTGGAACTAACCACATTGGTGATACTAAATACAGTAGTTCATCCTTTGGCGCACAATGTTGTAAGTACCAACAAGTTCATCATTATACTGTTGTTTCTTCATGAATACAACCTTTAGATTTTTTGAGGGGGCACTTGGTTGGTCCCTGATAATCAAATAACTCAAACGGTGCTCATTCTCTCAGTTTAATTGACAATTTGGTGGCGTGTGAAGTGTGATCGAAACATCAACATACTCACCTAGACAACATGGAAATGAGGTCACTTGCCAAACCTCAGAATGACTCTATGTTGAAAGCAAATAAATACTTGAATGCTGTCAGAAACACAATGAACTAATTCAAATTTAAGTAAAAGGCAATGTAGCATTGGGCTTTCTTAGCATACATGGATGTGCAAATGCTTGATGGATCCTTTGCATGAGGACAAGAGTAACCACTTATAAGAATAAAGTCAATTTTCACCTTTATGGGGGTGAATTCTAACGATTTACGGAAATCGAATTAATTTTTCAGTATGTTTTTTGTTGGAGGATTTTGTTCTAAATTTAATTCATGGATGAATAATTTGTAGTTGACTGGTGGGTATTAATTAAATCTCTCTCCCTGGTTTACCCTTTTGTCCCTAGATTTTTTTGCCCTTTTTAGCCTCAAAAGTGGGGCTGTAAATAAACCAAGTTAACCCAAATTTTGAGCTTTTCAGTCTCGCTTGGTCAGCCTCGGGTCACATTTGAACTTGGCCAAGGCTTGTGCTAAACCCAACCAATCTTCTCCATTACCAGCTCATATATAACTTAATTTAAGCTTGATTCAGCTTGTATTTGTGTCCGTGTATACAAATACGAAGAAATAAATTAATGATACTGCCTTTGAGCTCTGGATAAGAAGGCCTCATCATAAGGAAAATGTTGAGGAAGAGCAACAAATATCTTTAAAATCTGACTTGAATAGCGAAAAAGTTGGGGCTTTAAGCTTTCATCTCCCATAAATGTGGTTAATCATGCTCAAGAATACCACTTGATTTGTCATGAAAGGGAAAGAAAACCAAAAAGATCTTAAGAAATATCGTTGTAATTGATACCATGGGTATACTCATCACTAGAATGAGGAATTGATTGGATGTTCATCTTTTGTTAGGACTGGCGAAATCTTTTACATTCTTTTCAGACTTTTAGACTTGAAGACCCCCCATGTACTCTTGTGCATGGCCTAAATGAATTTCTACCTTTCGAATATTCTCTACAATATTCATTAGCTTTGATGTTCATCGAGCCGAGCCAGGGTTTGCTTAAGCTAGGTTCAGTAACATAATGGGTTTTAAATAAGATTCACGCTTGGCTTGTTCCTTAATGAACAAATCCTGGACAAGCTCCCTTGCATACTGAGCCCAAGCTGCTAATGAGCAACTTAATTAATTTGCAGCCATATGTAAAAGAGGATCAGTTAAAGTCTATGAACCTAGTTTGGAAGTTTAATTTCTTCTGGATAATATGTTTGAATTATACTTGTCTCCTATTTCCTAGATTATAAACTAGATTTTGCTCATCATAACAAAGTCTTACCTTGACTCTTTGGCATTGATTGTTCTAATCCCATTTCAATTTTCTTTTCTATAGGCCATCTAATTTGACTGGTGTTAATTTCATCACTATCTCGGCCATTCCCATTTTTGGTTAAATTTTGCAACATAAATGCATATCTTGACCATACTCATTCATGTCCTCACCTTGTCGTGGATTACCTTACTCTGCTAAGAGAAAGCCACAACAATTTTAGTGTATCAAATCCTACTTTAAATATTCACTCTCATTTTTTTTTTTTTTTTTGATAAGTAAAAAAATATTCACTCTCTTTTGGATCGTATATTTTCAGTTTTTTATTTTTTTATTATTTATTTCATGAGTTCTGCCAAATTTGGTCCCAAAATTACTGGTTAAATCCCAATTCAAATTAAAAATCTTAGCTCTAGTATTGGGGATTGACTGTGCAGATACTTTTTCGAACTATCTTCTTTTATTTTTCAAATAAATGTGGCCAGTATTACTTCTTTTACTTCCTCAACCCATTTCCTTTCTGGTCTTCACAGGATTGATCCCCCTCCACCCCCTGAAAGGGGAAAATTTCATAAAAATTCACTATGAGCGAACATTGGTCCTGTGATTTTTGAAATAACTGATACCTCATTTGGTCAGTGAATCTTGAATTAACAGTGAAATATACACTTAATGAAAAACTGAAAATTTGTTAATATTCTTTTGAGTTTCATTATCAATACTTCCAAAACCCCCTCATTTTGACTATTCCTCATAGTCAATGACTCAACATCCTCGGAAACAACCACCGTCATCTCTAACATGACCATCATAACTCCATTGTCACCACCTCCATTATACTGACAAGGCTAAATGACAATAACCAAGCTCCATCACTAACCCAAACACCAATCACTGCTGTGATTTCTCTACCTATGGCCTAATTAATCTCCGAAAGCACCATAATTAGGATCTAAAACACAGAGCGACAATAACATATTCAAAATTCAAAACGAATAATACAAAACGAAGTTCTCAATATTAAAAACAAGATCCGCATGAGCTCACATGACATCGCCAAATTTGGTCCCAATCCAACATATGCGTGATCCCTATGACGGCTTTTATGATGGCCAAGGCGGGGGATGGTCCTTGTTCTATCACCTCCTACGATGGCAAAATGCTTGGTGTATGTGACTGATTAAGCAATAATACAATGATAATGTTGCATTGAAGCAACCATCAGTAGATTCAGGTTTGATTTTATGAAATTGCTAATTAAATTTATACTTGCACCAATAAATTTTTGGGATTTGTGGGTTTTCTTGACAATGATGATATTGGCTTTCACTGTTCTTTTCTTTACTGTATTTTGTCTTGATCTTGAGTTCATTGGTCAAACATTAGCGGGTTTTTTTTATTCTCAAGAATTTGGTTCATCGGTTCTATTAAATGATAGGCTGGGACTAGTGATGGTTATTCTAGATGGTTAATTTAAAGTGGAAGCATGGTTGGGGTTGGCTAAAGTGTTTGGTTAAAATGGTGAGTTTCACGCAATGGTAGCCTGAAATCCTCCTCAATAGGAAACAAGCTTTTCTTGGTCACTTGCTGTTTGATGTTGTGGTGGCACGGTGGTGGAATTTCCACGCCAATGTTTGATGGTAATGGAAAAAATCAGAAAAGCAAATGCTAGTATGAAAATGGAGATGAGTCTGAGGGGTTCTGAGCTTGTCCATGGGGAAATTGGGCAGCCGATAGTGAGTCAACAATTGTGTTGACCCGGGCAAAATCTAAGAAGCACGAACACTTCTATGCAGGGGTCTGACACTCTATGGACACTCTTAGACATGTGTCCGACACTTCATGGCCATGTCCATTATTTAAAAAAAAAATTTATTATCTCCTACACTTGGCCGACACATCTTGAAAACTTGGTCTACACATCTCGGACACCTGGTCAACACGTTTTGGATACTCGACCAACACATCCTATACTTTGTGACTTGCATAAAACAAACACACGACAGTTTTGAAACTAATATTATGAACATACATCAAAGTGTCCAACCTCTAAAGGAACAAAAACATAACTATAATGGCAAGATAGGATAGCATTTAAAAGCATTTAAAAGCCTAGGATTTCAGTTCAAAATAAATGGGCATGGCTTCTGAAAAGGTGGAGGGGGGGTGGTGATATGAGTTTTCTAGTACACTGAGAAAGTAGAGCATTATAAGAGATCAAATTTGGCCATTAGACATCCATAAAAGCTGATAAGATGCTGTAAATGATGATATGTGGAAGGTCAATGCAATTTACCCCAAAAATTCTGTTTCCTTTCCCTAAATTTTTTCACCAGTAATTGGTAGCATTTAAAAGCCTCGATTTTAGGTTCAGAATGAATATCAACCCATTTAGGGTGTATTAAGTCAAGATTTTCATTTCAAGTTTTGGGATGCATTTTTGGATCTTGTGAATACACATCATTTTAGATATTTACGGTGACAAAAAGTTATGTTGATAATTTTGGAAGATTTGATACTATTATTTCATTATTTGATTTCAAAAAACAATTGTAGCAAAAAGGTAAAAATTTATAGGCATGGCATCCAAAGAGGTTGGGTGGGCTACTGATTTGATTTTTCTGGTCTACCAATAAAAGTAGAGCCTTATTTGTAGAAAAATGGCCATTTGACGGATATCCACTTTTTCTTGTCTGCGAAGAAAAGTATAGCTTTATTAGAGTAACAAAATTTGGTTGTTAGACATCCATAAATGCTGATAAGTTACTGTTAGATGCATTAGGATGCTTCAATTCCCTATCTTTTTCCTTTCCCTCCTGGAAATTCTTGTGATGGTCTCTGGGTCCTCAAGTGACTAGTGCAATGTCTGAATTTACTTATTTTGAATCACGTTCATGGAAAGGTTAATGACCAATTAACCACTAATTACCTTCTTTTATGAATTAACAATACAAGTTACTATAGGCCTGTTTGGCTCAGTGTTTTTAAAACAGTTTTCAAGAACTGAGAAAACAGAAACTGTTTTCAGAGAACTATAAGACTTTTTTTTGAGTTTTCAGAAAACTGTCAACCAAACAATTTTTTGTAGTGTTTTCTGATTTTCAGTTCTCTGAAACAGAACTGAACCAAACAGGGCCTATATCTTTCTTATTTTCTCGTGTTTTCTTTTTGTAATTTTTCTTTTGTTCGTGGGGAGGGGGGACTATGTATTATTTAATTGTTTGTGGTTATGTAAAATGATGTCATGCATACAAAAATACCAGTTTTGTCATCTAATTGGATTGTGATGCCATTGTCATTTATCACATCAATTCTAAGAAAAAAGTTTGTTGCATCCAGCGTGCCCATCTTATATCAATATTTTATATAGTCTTAGCTGTGATTTTATAAAATGTATATTTATAAAGATATACAGTCAAAAGTCCTTTCAACTGGTTGATTTTGTTTTTACTTGAATTTTGTAGTTCTTTCTAAATCTTTGTTTTTGACGGTTGGGAGCTATTTCCACAGTGAGTGAAGCTGAATTGGAGAGATTAAAGCATGCTTTAAAGCTTCTTTCAGAGGCTGAGAAACAACTTAGGGTTTCAAGTGAACGTTCAACATGGTTCACAGCAACCCTTTTACAGCTTGGTTCTGTCCCTTCATCAGACCCTACTCATTCAGGCAGCAGCAGGAGGCAGAGTTCCAAGACAAATGAGGAGGATCCTTCAAGTGCTTCTAGAGAAGCTACTACGCAGAGGCATGATGCTCGGTATAAACCCCGAAAATCAACTTCTCCAACATCCTTGCTTAATGTAGCTAACCTGAATTCAACCAGTAAAGACGATTCATTTTTAATAACCGACACCATCAGTTTCAATTCCAAGCCCACTCACAGCCGATTTGTTAATGATGATGCATTGGCTGTTACTCATGATGATCTTGCGGCTGGGAGTGTGATATCAAAATGCATAAACTCAAATAGATTGGATGATATCTGGATCCGATGCATTGAAAGGTGCCACTCAAAGAGGCTGAGGGAGCTGCTTCATACTCATGGAAAGCTTGCCTCAATCTCTGAGGTTGAAGGTAAACACATCTTCCTACATGCTCCAATTGTTCAAGTAAAATTCAAACAGAATGCAAAAGAATAGTTCATTATTTTTCCTTCATTTGCAACATTTCCTTGCTTATACTAGCTGGCAATGTCATGAAGATTGGGTTGAAAGATGAGATTGTAGGATCTGGAGTGGCAATGCTATTTTCAAGCCATTTTAGCAAATTCTAATTTACATTTGTTTGTTGTTCTGCATATAATGAGAAACACTGGAACAGTGTAAGCTCCTCAGTAAATTAATTGATTGTTCTCTCATTTACTAAAGCCAGATGTCAAACAATTAACCCTGTGACTATTATGGTAAAACAAATTGTATAGCTTCTATCATCTGCCTTCATAAGTAAATACGGGATCTCATGGTTGACCATGTGCAAATGTCCATCAAGGTTCTGATGTCAATTAAGTCACAATTTTGCCATACCATCTAATTCTTAGTTATGCACATTCAGACATACTAAAGCATAATAAACTTGTGGGCCTTGTGGTTCAACTTTTCACTACATGTCTGTGTGCTTACTTGTTTGTGTGACGTAATAAGTATAACTTGTTCTATTTGCAGGTGTTCTTGTTGCTCATATTGCATTTGGGGATAGAGATATTAGAACCAGGGCTGAAAGGTTTCTAAGCAGCATCACAAATTCATTTGAAATTGTTTTGCAATGCAATGTAGAGGTTAGAATTGTACTCTTACTTGATGGTCAGACTTCTATAAACAGCGCAAATAAGCCGGTGGAAGCAACCGAGATGATTAATAGGGAGAGAAAAACAACTTTCACAAATGCAATGAATGGTTATTCTGATACCGACATGCATCAGGAGCCACTAAAAATATCAAGAGGAAGCTTTAATGATTCTGAAGGCAAACTGGCTGGTACCTTTGATCATACCGCTGGATCACCAGTCCCATCGGTAGCAGAGAATGCTAAAATTAATAGCACAAAAGAAAGGAAACCAGGGATTCCGATGCAAAGGATAGAATCCATTATCCGTGAGCAGAGGTTAGAAACTGCATGGCTGCAGGCTGTGGAGAAGGGCACTCCTGGATCATTAAGTCGTTTGAAACCTGAGAAGAATCAAGTCCTGCCTCAAGAAGGCATGTATCATCATAATCAAACAGAATCAGGAAATTCCATGGATTTGTCCTCTCAACATTGGGAAGACGAGTTAAACCATGAAATCAAAGCTCTGAATATTAATGATGGAAAGGCCCTCCAGAAGGAACAGAATGGTAAAAGGATTGATCATTATCCCATGTCACCAAGCTTGTTGCATAATAGCAGTTTTGCAGGAAATTTCAACAAAGAGAGCACGTGAGTTCTTCTCTGCCTTTATCTATTTTTTTCACATGTTATATCTTTAAAATGTGGCATTTTTTCTCCCCCTCAATTCATGAAAGGACCATTACCCAATTTTTTTTTTTTTTTTTTTTTTGGGGAGGGGCTAGAGACAGTCATAGCCTTTGCGGTATCTTTGCAAAAATTGGCTGTTGTCAGATTCAAACCTGCCTCCTGATGGTTGTGAGCCCAAGCTTTATTGTTTCATTTTATCATTCTTAGATATAGCTACTTCATATAGAATTATAGAACTTTAACATTGCTTGGAACTGGGTGCATTGACTAAGTTTGACTCTTCGCCTAGGTTTAAGTTAAGACAGTTTGATTTGGTTGCAGGCCTCTCTGTATCATAATTCTAGTATTAAAAAATTACTTTGACTATGGTGCAGTCTATGTGTGGCATTCCAGTCTGTTGTTTATGTGCTTGATAAAACATTATAGAACTGGCAAGTTATCAACAACAATACTTGAAGCATTTATCATTAACATCTTCAATAGAACATTAGGGGTATGGAAATTTTTTTTTTCTTCCCAAAAGGTCCATGGTTACGGATTTTGAACGTGTAGATGTATGATCGTAAAATGTAAAGTAGACCATTGAAGAAAACAAGAGCCCTCATTACAATAAATTACTCTGTGATAATATTAAGAGTTCACACTAGCAAATTTTCATCACCATCTGATACAGGGCTGCCATGTCTTTTGATGTTTCTATTTGACATGGATTTCAATAGACAGAATATAAGCTGATACACTTGAAAGTTGAGTTTTTGGCCAAGTCTGTTGTGACATCCTGAGAACCATTGAGCTAATAGACAGAATATAAATGTTATAATTTTACGCACATTAATTATGTTTCTCTCCCAATTACCCTTGAAAATCCTATCAAATTTATGATTTTAATAAAAGTCAGTTATGGAGAAAGAAGTGATGCACAGAATATGATAATTTTTCATTTCATAATGGATTTTTCTGTCACAAAATGCTAATGCAGTTTTCTGGTTGTCTCTGTAGGGGATATGAATCGGGGTCAGGAGCTGGAGGTTGTAGCGGCCTTTTCTGTTGGAATAATGCCAAACCTCCTAGAAGGGGAAAGGTAGGTCGCCCCCCCCCCCTTACGTGTGAAAATGAATATATTTTCAATTTTGTATGTGATCTTTATACATGTAAACAGGTAAAACAAGGAACTCCTGTTGTTTCACACAGAGATGCGCGATTTTCATGGTTTGGGGAGTGCGGAAAGCCAAAGAAGACTGAGAATAGATTCAGAAGATAGTTGAGAAGATATACAAGTTTGAGGTTAAAGAGATGCTCTTTCTTTTGCTGGTATATTTTCTGTATTTATATTTCCATAGAGCCATTTTTTCCATGGATATGAGGGGACGAAGAAAATATAAAGTTTATGCAGCTGGGATTCAGCATTTCGCAATATTCAGCCTAATTTTCTGAAAAACAATAATGGAAAAGAGGGACAATTTTTACCCCATCTAAACCTCGTCTACCATCTCTAGGGCTTGAATAAAGATAAAATAAAAATTGAAATTAGTTCTTTGCTGTAGGAATTGGTACATAATTTGTGACAATAAATAATTTGCAGAGATGGTTGATGATCAATAAGGTTTTGATGAGCTTAATTGAATTGTCACATTCAATACTACAATCTAAAAGCTTATTGAGTTGGCAGGAGTTGCTGACTTTGGTTGTTGATTGTCTGTAACATATTGCTCGTATAGAAAAAGTAGGTGCCACTGTTATCCATCCTAGGGAATTCACTATTGAAAATTTTAAATTTGATGCCAGTCAATTTGGTTAACATTCACCAGGATGCATTCTTGATGGAGCAAGTGTGTGTGTGTGTGTGTATATTCAAATACTCACACACTCCCCCACAAATGCTCACTATGGTGCTCGAACCACTCACACCTCCTTTGAGAGAGAAGTTATACTAGGTAGACGAATGGCTAGTGGATGAACCAAGTGTCGCTATGGAATTGTAGCTCAGACCTGCCTAGTAATTCAATTCGAATATGGGTGGAGAGAGATTTTGGGCTTGTTTATTTCAGTTCTCTGAAAGCATTTCTCAAGAAATAAAAAAATCAGAAGAGTTTAGTTAGAATTAAAAAATTCTATGAAATAAGTTTATATATATATATATATATATTCATCTAAGGGCTCCTGTAAGACATGGTACCAACTGGTTCTACAAGGGAAACCAGGGGAGCATTTACCTCATTGCTAACTCCCAAGTGGACTAATTTTAACTAGCAACAGAATTTCTACCTTCATTATTATTATTATTTGATAAAAATTATTTTGAGTACTAGTTTCTAATGACCTGGGAAAAAAATATTAATTTCTACTTTTTGTACGAAGGGCTTTTATTTGAATGTAGCAGGTGCATCATGACCTTAAATGGCCTGATTGGTAGTATCTACCAGTATTAATGATTTCTAGGTCTGGTCTATATCCATGGAGGCAGCTTCTTAAACCCCCTTGAATTTAAGGCTCACAGATGATATAAACAGCTCACTGACATAACTTTCAACACTAGGGCCCTTTTGCTTCATCCATCACAAGCTCCTCTCATTTCCAATCTTTTGTACATCTAACAACTTTGACCAATTATCACAGAAAATCAACTGAAATCAATGTTGTAGGCGTTTTTATTTATTATTTTTTTTAAATACTAAATTTTTATGTTTAAATGTGCGCGAATTTAAGTGAGATCGGTGTGAGTGAGGGCGTGAATCTCACCATTTACTTTATAATGATGTAATCAGCAGGTCACCCTAAGCAGAAGTGACTGCGCGTAAGAGCGAGAAAGAAGGATTGTTGAAACTGCGACTCACTGGAATCTTTTCAGACCTGTCTAAGTGTCAAATTACAAATCATTTTTCCAAGTTTAATATTATCTTGGTTGAAAATTAAAACTCCATTACTTCATCATTCATGCATTTTAAGTAGAAGAAAAGAGGAGAAAAGAAAATATGTGTCTTTATTCAATCACCATGGAAGCAAAAAAAATGAGAAATTATGAGATAAACAATGGACAAAATTTTGGTTACACGTGTCACTTTTTTTCCTTTATTTCCCATCATTTTTAATTTTTGTTAACCAACACTCTGAGCAATGCAAAATGTTATTTTTTCATGTCAAAGCTATATTTTGAGAGAAGTTACAATGTCGAAATGCTATATTTTAACAATTCTACTCCACTGATGCATTTAATTCAAAATACTATTTGGAGTATTTTATTTTTATCTACTTATTATATTTTGAAAAACGGCATCGTATAAGAAAAAAAAAGACCTCTCAAGAATTTTTGGAAGTTATAATATATGGCAATATTTTTGACAAACTCAAAATATGAGGGATCTTTTGAAAGTTCATTAGAGTGCGTTATTTTCATCCACCAACTATATTTTGCCTTTGAGAGGGCATTGGAGATGCTCTCAAGGACCACATTTTTTACCTATGGCTTTTGTTACTTTCTGCTATTCAAAATTTATTAAAATCTACTCAATAGATATAAAATAAAATAAAAAAAAAAAAAATTGCATTTTATCCAACAATCTGTCAACAGCAGTAGAACAACATTAAAATTCAGGACCAACAAAAAAAAAAAAAAAAAGGCCAAAATGGAATGAATATTACTAAGATGACTCTGCAGAGCTAGCTAGTATTCAATATCCTTTCCGCAAGTAATAAATCGTCGGGGGTTGTAACCTGCAGGTCATAAAGAAGTTTATCACATTATTAGTAAAAGACTATAGCAAGGTTTTCTCAGAAGAGTGGAATGAGCTTTCAAATATGTTGAGAAACATCTGTCTACAAGTATGAACTCCGAAATGCATGTAAATGTCCGTAAGATAATATGCTCCACATTTCGACATGAAGATCATTAAACATATTCCGCTACCTTGATGTTGGTGTAAGATCCTTCGGTGACGAATACAGGATGTTTAAGGTGCTCCACGATGGACACGTCATCCGTGACTTCAAGGCGCTCTCTGTAGAATGAAGAACCGCTTGAAATTTAATCCATGTGTAGGTTTTAAAAAGTAAATACATAATTAATTGGAAAATTGTAAAACCATATGATAAATATCAACTTTAGATGACAGTTCTGTATCAGAGAGTGTTCATTACTTGAGCACACTAGTTTTGAGAATTTATTCTGAAGTAAAGGGCAATATGTTACAAATTTCTTACTATTTTAAGTAGGTCATCACAAATATGGTGCCAAAATATAGTTGTGTACTAAAAATTCTTACTACGGAAAAAGAAAATGTGGACTATAATTTGGACATTCCAACTGGAAATGCTATTAACTTGCTAAAAAAGTTAAATTCATATTGCACTGTTTTAGATACCATGCACCCAGAAAAGGTATATCAACAACACTCAACTCAACAAAGCTGTATCCTACTATTTGTGGGCCACTATCCAACTATACAAATACTTCTCTCTCTTTCCTTTCTTTCTTTCTTTCTTTTCTGTTTTCATTTTTCTCTGTCTTTTTTAATTATAATTCTTCATACCTTCTCTCACAATTTTGAACCATGTTCAACTTGCTTCCTCAATTCTTTTAATGTCTTGAACTTGAAACGAACCTTGCACATTCAATTTGTTTCCTTTATCCTTATAGTTTCTTCATTACATGCCTTGAAATACAGTTGCGTATGAACCATGGATCTTTTGCTTACTGAGGCACAATGTGTTTTCAGATCTAGGACCATCTGTGAACTCAAATGAGTTCTGTATCAGTGTATCTATGTAAGGACTAACTGGGCATCAAAGGATTTAAGTCTCCAGCATCAACTAAGAATCTATAAATTTGGTTTTAATGAGTGACGAGATATTTGCATGGACCCAAATACCATGGGATCTTCATTGAACCATGGAAATGATTACTTATTGAGTAATTTGATTTAAAAATTGTAAGGTATCTGAATAGCCTCACTGGAACATATTAAAGCCCAAATATAGAGAAGAATCTCACAGATTTTTTTAGGCAATACACATTCGGACTTATCAAACAGGAACTACTCATCTTTTTTAAGAGAGTATCATGAATATTTTAATCCATTTAGGTTGAAAAAGAGAGATACAGGTTAAGAAAGCACGATCCAATAGATTGACATTCATTTATACAGTTATTTTGAACCAAATCGGAATTCATTTATTTATAAAAACTATATGCAACCTGTTCTATAAATAAATAAATAAATCAAATAATGGAAGGAGTTAAGTGCAGTTTTAAAAAAACAACATAGAACTGGATAACACACCATCAAGAATTAGAAAGTACCTATTTACAAGCTCAAAGCCCTTCTTAAGCAACTCAGGCTTGATGACCTGGAGAAAAAAAAATTGATGGACAGCAACTTAACTCTCTATTCAAAAACAGATTTCCAATAATGTAATATCAAGTGAATTATAAATGTCTCCGGCAGTAAACCTGTGGGGTTTGCATTTCCCAAAGTGTTTTTCTGTCCAGAGTTCTTACTACATAAGATTCACTATTTGCCTGCACACGAAATCAGAAACACATTCCACGTTTCATTACATAGTTCAGAGGTAAAGCAAACTGAACTGATATAGTTTATGGTGGGTATTAATTGAGATTTTGTGAAACATGAATAAATATGATACAGAAACTAGTCCGATATTTAACTGAAGATAGAAGTTATTGAAAATATAATGTGAAAATCCCAGGTGGTGCTCTTCACCTTTTTTTCTAAGGCTTTGAAAAGAAATTTTGAAACGCAAAGATAATGTTAGAAGAGTTTATTACATTCACAATTTTTAACCATATAAGAAGTGCAGTAAGAGGTCAAAATGCAATGAATGTAAAAGAATTCATAAAGATCTTGTCAAAAGATTGTGCAAAAGTCGTATGGATGAGCATAACATACAACTTGATCTTATACACAGTTCTTGAGTATAAAACCGCACAAACCTCCCTTAATACTCCTCTAAAGTATCTGAACTATTACATATCCAATCGCATCTCCTTCTGAACACGTACATTTTCACTACATCAATCCTCTGTTCTGGCATGCTCCAAATTGAGATGCTCAACTCCACACCTTAGTGTAGCAAGGAACTATCAAATCATCTGGGGATTGTAACAAACCACGAAACAAGAAACAATGGACCCATGCAGGAGGTGACGTTTCTGACCAATTAAATGTCTCTAAACAAAAGATATCTTTTGAATTTTATTAGATGAATATTCAGAAGTCATTTATATCCTAAGAAATTGAACTTCAAATAATTCCGTCCAATTTGCATTCTCCACGATGAGAGAAAAAGGTGGTACATAAAAGTACCATTTCGAAGTAGTTTATAGTAATGTAACTTGCATTAATAATAGGTACCTCTTTGATTGTAGCTTTGACAGGAACACCAAGTACAGCTGCTCCACTCCGCCAACCATCTTTAAGAACCTGACCAAAAAGAAAGTAAAAAATTTCCTGATTTTCTTGTGCTGGAAAACAGATTTGGGGATACCATATTTAAATGTAAAGGTGAATTTGCCTGAAAAGATGAAGCATAATATTGAAGTTATTCAGTTTTGAAATATTCCACTTTGAGTTCTTTATTCTTTTGGGTCAAATTGAGGAATCGTAAATCCTTGAGGGAGTTAATTGAGTTTCAGTCTATTCAAATTGTTATAAACCACAAATAAGTTGCAAACCCTTATTATATAAAACGAAAAAAAGGAGACAGAAGTAAGCATTTCCTATAAATTTAGTGCCTCCTGACAAACAAGGAGATCATCACGTCAAAATGCCATCACTAACCAGCAGCACTCTTAAAGCATTCCTGGTACTCGTTACCAATTTTTTCTTTTTTCTTTTTTCTTTTTGTACTTATATTAGTTTGAAGATGATGTTATGTATTAAAAAAAAAAGAGTTTAAAGATCATGTCATAAAAATCATACAGGTTAGAAATGTGATCAACGAACAAAAATATATCCCAAACATTTAATATACGTATTTTTGCCATTTGGACCATATGTTAGAGCAATCAGCTCCCAATGCTCTGGAAAGCACCTTCTAGCCTTCAGGGGAAGATCCTTAAAGATTGATCCTTTCCCTTTGCTATGTAACGACATATTGAGAGAAAAGAACAAGAAAACTTGTAAGGAAAGGTAGAGCATAAAGCCTCACTTGAGGATCTTCATGAATGGAGGAAGAAGCAAGAGAGAGAGACACTATAAGCTTTACTATTTATATAGGTAACTTCAAGAAACAGCTTAACCAATGCACCAGAAATGCATGGAACAAAGGTTTCTGACCCAAACCTTTTTTATATCTCCAGATGACACCAGAGGTCTTGCGGAGTCATGGATACATAAAAGTTCAGAGCTCAAATCAACAGCCTGTACACAAACCCAACTTTATCAATTAGAGAATTTCAGTTATTATCAGTAGGTACACTCAGACAATGTACTAGGCTACAACCAGCATAAGTTGCAATTATTAAACAGTATTGCCCTCTCAATATTTGATTGAAAAAACTTGAATCAAAAGGAGTCAATTTGATACTGGAGCTTATCAAATTTAAAGCTTACAAACAGAAGAAGTACAAAAAGCCTGAAAAAGTCCTATGGACCACAGGAGTTCTTTTTTTAAGAGGTATGCATCAGCCACCTATTACACTTGAACAAACATCCCGCAGCTATGCAGTCATGGGCCACCTAATATTGCATAGTGGTACTAAAAGTCATATCCTCTTTCAGCACTCCGATATCATGGGCAAACAACATTGCATAAATTTGATCATATGATTATAAAATCTTTTATATACAGTGGCCAACCCCATTCAAATGAGATTAAGGCAAGGATGATGATGATGATAACATAATATAATACATTATGTAATAATTTATATAATTTAATATAATATTTTATTATAATTTACAATATATTACCTTATCATAATTTAATATGATGTAATACAATATCATAATATTATAACACCGTATTAGCACATTATATAAAATAATAAAATGTTATACTATATAATAAGTAATACAATATTGCTTTCTATCTTAGCTAGTAAGGAACAACTCTACTTTTAGAAGCCATTGTTAACGATGCTCGAGCTCCCCTCATATGGCGTGAGAGGGGAATCCCAGCCCTCCTAGAACAGATTAGAGAAGATATGAAATAAATAGTGAGTTACGAGAGTAAGGAATAAAGTGAGAGTTGTTGCTCCTAGCTTTTATCTCAGCAAGTAAAGAACAGATAAGAGTATATCACAATATATATGATATCACAATATTTGTATTGAAAGATAAGATTATATTATATACAATACTGCAATATTATATTACTAGATTCTAGTATGTATGGTTATACTTCATATGATATAATATATAAAATGTGCTTCTCTTTTTTCATTCTTTTCTTTTTCGTTAAAAGGTCGATGTTTCCACTTCAGGGTTGTATATATTTGATGAGAATTTTCTATCTAAGTTGGTTTTCTTTTGATACTATGATGTAATGGAGCATTTCCACAATTTCGTTAGAATCGGCACTCTAAGGGCATGTGTATTCCATTTGTTTTGGCTTACCAAACAGTGGAATGGGGATAGAGTTATAATGGGTATTCCATTCCATTTTACCGTACCCAACGTGGCATAAGAAGAAAACATATTAACATCTCAAAGTCAAAAAACCCAATTTATATATATCCGTTAAGCAAGTTGAGGAAAAAGAAAGACACAAACAGAAATATTGAGGAGAAAATTGGATAATAAACCAGAAATATTCATGAACAAGAAGTGGTACTTGTCATAACAAAGAAAAGAGGATTGCACATGCACCTGAAGTCCACTATATACAGAATCTTGTCTCTCCTTTCCAGGCAAAGTAAATTTCAGGTCGACATTGATATTTTGTTTGGTATCTGAAACAGTAACAAGGATTAGTTTGAATATATCTAAAAAGCACAATTAAATACAACCAACAGCTAGTGCATTGTGTGTGCATTGCATAATCCACGATAGAAAATCAGTATACCTTCAAAAATGTCGTGGTAAGATGGATCACAAACTACAATAATTTCCTTCACTTCAATCATGCGTGAGAAAGTGTACAAACTGCAAAAATAAAAATAAAAATAATAAAATAAAATAACACAATATTAGTAGATAGACAATAAACATAATAGATTTACTTTAGGCACTTGTACTAGTGTCGCTCATGCACCAAACCCAATCCTAAGTCTTTTTTTTGATAAGTCAAACCCAATCCTAAGTCTTAACGAATCCCACCTCACAGATCTTCGCCCCAAAAACCAATCAAACATGAAATGAGTTAAAACTCAAGTCTTGTTCAGTAGTGAACTGTAAGGTTGCAGTCTCTTACAGAAGGAAAGAATATCTACCCCTGAAATGTGCACAAATCAGTGTCATAAATTTAATTTGGATATTGTATCCAGCAGAGGGTTAAAAGGCTTAGAAGCCATAACACCTTGGACGTATTTCTCCCAATTCTTGTCCTAGGTTTACTACCACTTGTTATGTTTCTCTCACTGTTCTCCAAATCTAAATTTTGGTTAAAACTTATTAAATATGTATATCATTTTAGTGTAATAATAATAATAATAATAAAAATTCCTTCACTGACCCAAGACTTTTTTCCCTTAACTAGTGCAAGAAAAACCATGGGCCGACACTGTAATACATTAATTCACATGGTAAACAGGTCCTTAAGCACATTGTGGAGTAGCGACACTATAATACAGTCCCTACTCCGGCTAAGAGAACCTCTGCATCCTTTACTAAGTACCTTAATTACCATAATGGAAAAAGGCCATCAACCAGTGTTACTCCACCTAATGCAGGATGTTGGGACTTGGGAGTGGTGGATTAAATACAGACATTAATTCCTAACTTTTGGCTTCATTCTCACATAATAACTGCTCTCCGACTCTAGTTACCATAACAATTGCAGACCTTTTGTGGTTTCTATACCATGTTTGCCTGAAGTTCCATGTATCACATACAATATTAAAATGACTATTAACATCGGTATGAAAAATCTTTAAACTGGGACCCACTATATTTTAGTATACTTGGTTTCCGATCTGAGCCTGATTAGTTGAGGAAAAAGTATCTTGAGTTGAGTTGTTGCGTGTACCTATATAAAGCAATCGGTTGCCCAAGAAGTGGAAGATACTGCTTTGGCATGCTTGCCTATGCGCACAAACATAAGAAAACCATCATCTCATCATCATCATCATCTGGCATATGAAAAATCAAGAACTGAAAATGCTGAAGAATATGGGAATAGAAGTATGGGCGTATCCATAAGAAGACACTTACATATACATGACATACAAAAAATTGTATGCATATGGAAACTGACAAAGATACATGCAAATAAATAAATAAAATTATATGCCAAGGCAAAGAAATAGAAATTGCTTTTAGTAAATTTTATTTTAAAGCAGCATGTCACCACAACAAAATTCCTTGTATACTTTGCTATGTAGGATCAGGAAAAGAAATGAAAGAACATTCAACCAATAGCAGAATGCTAAAGAGTGACAAACATGGTGATCAAGAATCTATAGGTTGGCTGCTTTGAGTTGACCTGATAAGTTAGATATCCTAAGTACTCACCGTGTTCAAAAACTTGTCATTATTAAATAATGGAGACACAACAAGAAAAATACAGCTCGTGAGGACTTCATATGCCTAATTTAACAAAATCAAGATATTTGCCATTAAAATTGTAATTAGAGAGCAACATTTGGTAACTATCTTGTGGTTTTTGGGTTTGGTTCAACTAACACAAATTTAGCTCAAAAGTCCCTTCTCAATCTCCGAGTCATGGTTTGCATATCAAACTTCAAATTTCTTTTACTAGGCCAAGAAGATAAGTAATGCAATACAACACTTTGTAGCACATTTACTAGAAAGTTCAAATTTCTTTGTAGCACATGGTTTTTTTTTTTTTTTTTTTTTTTATAACTTTTGTGTGATATAAGGGGCATACTCCGTATTATACTAGATATAAACTTCAGTATGGTGATACCATTTAAAAAACTGTAAGTGTGGGGAGAAAATAAGTCAGTGGCATATACTACGAGCTTTTAAAGATGGTTATGTCTAAGAATTGAATAATGGAACATAGGAATTGTTGTGGAACCAATGTCACCTTGTTTGGGTATTGAGCTCTGCTGCACTGAATAGCAATAAATTTTTTACATAGGCTCTGGTATTAACAAATTTTCAATTTTTTTTGGCCAATGTGACACCCTTCTCTACTAAATACAGGTTCCAAACAAGTAAAAGCATACAAATGCTATCAAAAACAATATGGACCCAAACCCATTCCCATTGAAAAACACAATCAGCTGATTCAATTTCCATGAGACCCTGCGATGTATTGGTGATGAGTATATAACGCACCCTGAGTACTAAAATATTGGGCTATGAATGCATAAGGGGGTAAAGAGTACTTGTGTTGAGCTACCAAGGAAGTAACAACCCCTAAAGAAGCTAGAGCAAGGCCTAATTGAAAATGAATCGAATTATTGATTGTGTCATAAAGACCCTTATGCCCAAAGGAGCCATAAATGGGTGCATTACAGAACCACAATTATTAAAAGCATAATATATATATATAGAGAGAGAGAGAGACTTACCCCCATCCGCTTGCCCTTTCCTCCAGCCAGAAGAATGACGGAGACGCTTTTATCTTTCACAATTTCATCGGTCTGCAGAATAACTCGAAAATCAATACAAATGACAGTATCTCCGGATATACAACCACATACACATACATGTATAATGAAAAAAAAAAATCCCAAATTACCAAATCTAACTAACTGTGCATATAAATACACATACACAGATTTGCATACATATTTACATATATATGTGATTATCTCTCACCTCTTTGAGCTCCCCAACTTCCGCAGAACAACTGATTCTTGATGTAGTAGCAATTCTTGCCTCTCTCACAAAATCGATTCTATCCCTACGCTTGCCCACAACTCCAAAGTTCTTCAAGTGATTCGAATTCGAGAAATGCGGAATTGGGGTGAAGGAATTGGACTGAATTCGAAGATTAGTTCCAAACAACACAGGGAAATGTGAAGAAGAAGAAGAGAGTGAGAGGCTGAGTTGCAGAGTCATCATTTCTCTAGACCCTTGTTTTGCCTAGCTGGGTTTGAGCTGTATAAGAGGCCGAACCAATCAAAAAGATGTATATACAAAATATATATATATATATATATATATATATATATATATATGCTTTGATGAAATGTGTCGATTGATAAAAAAATTCTTATATGTCTGCTAGTGGATTTGGAGTAGCCACGAATATTATAAACACAGGAAAGACTAAACGTGCATCGCGAGTTTGGTCCAGTACATATAATAATGAGAAGAAATTAAAGAAGACAAATTTACAAGAATGAGTGCGGCCCACTGAGCAATATAAAGCGCATAAGCTTATGGACGAAAATATATATATATAAAGATGGCAACACTAATTTTCATGGGAATTCAACAACTTACAAGGTTTGGTTACAATTAGGCACGACCGGGTATTTACATTATTACTTATATTTTTTGTTAAAATTTTAAAAACATATCTCTCAATTTATAAAAGTTTTAAAAATGCCCCTCTCAATTTATTGAATTATGCCACTTCACATTTTTACCATCACTGATTTTTTTTATTTAAAATGTAATCATCTCTTTTTTATTATTTACGGCTCAGCCACATTCTCTTCTCACACTTTTATATTCCCACTAAATTTTTAAAAATATTCACTATATATATTCTTGCATCCACATTGATATTTTTAGATCCAAAAAAAGTAAAATAAATTGGTTTTTCTGTTTCTTTACTCTTTATTATTCCAGCACAAATGCGGTTAAAAGATCAAAGAATCTAAGACCAACAAGCCACAAAAAATAAAATTCTTATTTATTAGTATTTTATTTTTTTTAAAAAAAAGTATCTTCAATTTTTTTTTATTGTTTAATAACGCCCATCCTCAAAAAAATTCATGAGTCCGTTACTGGTTACAATCTTTTACAAAATTAAATTTTCTTTTGTCACACAACCTCACCATTAAATCAACACATTCTCATTGTCAATACACTTTTTGAAATATGTTTATAAAAGATTATTGATTCTTCAAATCCAGATTATAAATTTTGTTCTTTCGTCATGATACAAGTATTTATTTTTTTAATACTCTCGACTGTCATCTTACCAAAGAAAGTTTTGAATGATATTGAAAATATATTAAGAAGATTTTCATAAAATACTCCTAATATGAGACGTATGAGGAAAGGTGGCCCAAAAGTGGCATAGTGTAAAGCATGTAAAAAAGATGAGGGAGATTTGTGTACTAAGAATTTAAAAAATTTATGAAACTAATTCAATTTAATAATCAATATTTACCGCAGAAGACTGTAAGCCTAGAAGTATCTACTTCCAAAGTGTAAGGTGGATTCGGTCCGTAGGACATACGTACAGATTGGCCACTACAGTCATATATGTTACCTTCTGAAACCACTACCGTTGGGTCACAGTACTCCACTTGTGGATTCTTCAGTCCATGACTTGCATGTGTTTATGATGGAAACGAACTTGTACAGCCTCGTGTATTATTATTATTATTATTTTTTTCGAAATCGGACACTATTATTATTATCATTTTTGAAATCGGAGTGTCCAAAACTTTACCCAACTAGTGGTTAAATATAGAGAATTTGTCACCAAAGAGTAGGAGTGGCAATTTGTGTTCATGAGTCATAATTGTATACTGTCGATGCAAGGATATTATATTAAAAAAAAAAAAAAAACTCAAATCCGATTCATTTAATAATCGTGTCAGGAATCCTCAATAGTAACCCGACCTGTTTATTAAATGGGTTAACATGTAACCCGATCTGTTTATTAAACTTGTTTATCAAAACGAGACATTTGATAGTAATAAATTAATAAATACTAAAAAAAAAATTTGTCACAATTAACTCAAATATTCAAAATAAAAAGAAAAATCATAAGGCGTAATCAAAGTTTATTTTGAAATGACTTAACTATACATCGTAATTGGGTTTAAACAAGTAACGTATTACATAGGTCATATTCACGAATATGACATAATGAGTTAAACGGGTATAAACATGTTACAGTGGTTGAACCCATCAACCCTAACCCGACGCGATTAAATAAACGGGTTAATCGTGTCAACTTGTTTATGACCCGAACCCGTTTAAGGTCAACCCAAACTTATTTATCTTATGTCGTGTTCAAATCGTGTTGACATGTCGTGTGATAATTTACCACTCCTACGAGAGACTCTCTTAATAGCATTACTCAATTTGAATTCAAGAAGTTCATGGAAATGAGGGTGAGGCAGCTGAAAAAAAAGAGAGAAGGTAGATACAATAGATTGAGAATTAATGGCAAATACAAACAGTAGTAAGTAAAGTACAGAACAAACCATTATTCCAAAGTCTCTACCAAATTCCACACACCAACTAAATAAATCAACAACACCATATCAACTAAATTCTTTATTGAACACAAATGGAAACAGGAAAACCAGAAACATATCATCAAGCTTTGTTCCTCACACTCAGCATTCACCTGCACATGCAATAAGGCATTCACTGAACAATCCATTTCCAGAATGGTTAAATATAGTTTTGTGCTAAGATGTGAACGAAATTACCTAAAAATTGCAAATGACTATCCATGCAGTAATGTGAACCTTTCATAGAATCCTATATTGACTAATGAAAAAAATACATAAAAAAGAAAAATCTAATCCCTAACGTTTCTGCTTGTTGAAAATGGGAGCACAAGGAAAAAGGGAGATGTGTTCAACAACTTATTTTGTAGGGTAAACTAAAAGAACATAAAAAGAACATTTAAAGTCAGCTTGTTAGCCATGATATCGTATAAAAAAATTCGTTGTTTCTTGATTGTCAAATCATGAAAAGGTAATGAGCTTAACTTTAGGTTTTCTATTCTTTCATCAACAAAACTAGTAAATGTAAATTAAAACGAAACAACAAGAAACATTAAAAATATTTCCTAAACAGCGGTCACCCTGTCTGGTATGGCATCAAAACATAATAATGAAAATTAATGTTTTTCAAAACTTTAAATTATGTTTTTTGAAACTTTTTAAAGTTTTGAAAAACATTAATTTTCATGGCATCATCTCCTATCCTTCTGCAGCCATCATAAGTATGTATTCTTAGTCAAAAGAAAATAAAACCATTTGTGAATGTGTCCATGAGAGAGGGACTTGCTCAAAATTTGTTGGATAAATCCAACAATTCAAGCAAAAGATGTTCTGCAAATTCACCTTCAAAGGACCAAAAAAAAAAAAGGGAGACATTAGGGAGAGAGAGAGAGAGAGAGAGAGAGAGAGGGTACTATCCAAGTTTTAGTGGGAGAACCATAGGCAATGTACTGATACAACAATTTTATAAGCAAAAGATGTTCCACAAATTCAACTCATAAAGGAAAAAAAAATAAGGAAATAGTAAACAGAGAAAGAAGGGTTACCTTAACCATCCTCAACAGAGGGATGTGGATGAATAAATGGAGCTCTGCTTTACAGAATGTTGCACGCATTCGCTAAGGCCTTCCCCAAGGCATGCGCCAAGATGATGTTCATGAGATCATTCGGCAAACGGTCATCTATTGGGTAGAAGAAAGGGCTGAATTTTAATTTGACGTTGTCATCTTCCCATTTCAATGCTTCCCACCACTGCTGGGGTCCATAAATTTTCCTCAGATTAGGTGCACTGTCTACGCCAAAAGGAAAAAATTCCAGTTTTGGGCCAACGAAAAAAGAAACCTCCTGTAATGAGGGCCAACAGAAGGAGACATTCCCCTTGGAGAAGTGAACAAATTCCTGTAGAAAACAAAGTTCCAAACGCTTCAGTTTCGGCAACATCACACATTCAGGCTTCCTGCTGCTGGACTCCACATCGTCAACTGAAATCATGTCTATGAAATTATCACACCCGAGAATTCTCAATAACTCCATGTGGAGGGAAAAAAACTCCCTCCAATAAGAAGCGTACACGTCATCACTACACGTATCTACATTCCAATGACATATAAGGCCCATCATGCTCAAGCCCAAATTGAGTGTATTTTTAGCCCAAGACCATTGTTATTTGTCTTCCAACCTCCATCAAGGCCGAATCAAGAGGTCATCAGCCCAACTTGTTAATATTTAACATCCGGTCCGTTACTCAAGCCCAGCCGGATCAAAGTATGTTCAGCCCAGTTATTCAAGAATGCACAAGTCCTACCAGTTGAAGGATTTACCGTAGAAGGAAAATTCTGAGATAGGAAGTTTTGTACAAGGCAAGTTCTATGTATGGAAAATTAGACAATAGAAAGAACTCTATTAGTAAAGAATGTTTATATAGAAAGAATTGGAGGACAAGCAACGCGAGTCCTACCATAATTTTACAATCTTTTGTATATAAATAAAGGCTTAGACCTCCAACAAAGGGATCAAGCAATTCTACGCTTCAACATATATTGTTCTTGTTTATTTTTACTATTGATTGAGTGAGTTGTTTTATTTTTCTTAATCATTATTGGTTGAGCGAAATTCTGCACCTACACTTTGGCGCCGTCTGTGGGAAACGTATAAAAATATACTCCCACTTGTTCTTCAAATCAAATCCTTAGTCGTATCTGGAATGTCAAACGGAGAGTCAGCAATGAATCAACAGATAGAATTGATGCAAAAGATGCGAGAGGAGTTCTTGCACCAATTTGAGACACTCCGGCAAGCAAACGATACGAGTGTCGCCCAGATAGCTGCGCTTCAGCAGCAAACTCATACGCTGCACATGGCAATGGCCGGGCTAACGCCACAACCACCACCAGGCGATGCTGCAGCACCACCCCCCACCCAGAATTTACCTCCAGTTCACGAGCCTCCGGCCAACGGGACACCACCCAACGGGGCTCGACCTAATGAGGTTCAGCAACAGCAAGGGACAAGGTCCGAGGCAGTTGCTTCGGATAATCTCCTGCGTCGTACACAGGACGAACAGGCCGAGTCCAGCCATAGGCTTACGGTATGGTCCAATGGCGTTCCAGATGGCACACGCGTACAAGATGCCTTCGACGAAAAGAAGCTATTAAGAGTTCAGACACCAGCCGAGATGGCTAAAGAGCACAAGAACTCCTTAGTCAAGACTCC